TATATTAGGAATTTACCTGTAACATACCCTGGGAATACATTTGTGACATATCCTTAGAATTCAGTTGTGACATATCTTTAGAATTCAGTTGTGACATATCTTAAGAATTCAGTTGTGACATAACCCTATTGAGTCCAGTCATATCAAGATGCAACATGTCCTGCTTTTCCTGTTTTTAGAAAGTAAAAAAATTACTTGGTTAGTCAGTGCAACTTTAAATTACAACTTCAATTAAGATAAAGACATCCTTAAAACATGCCTTCAAATGCCAATCTTATCAATTTACCCCGGGTCTAATATGTTAAAGGTGAACGGCATACTATGATTTTTTGATAACATTTTACAATACTAATGCAAAGTATAAAAGCAATAGGAAAAAGTCAAGACTCATTATCTCAATTTTGCCCAAATCTTGAATTTTCAATTTTTGAGTGATTATATTTCCTCCAGATAGTGACCCTATAATATTCTTTGTTCCAGCGATCCTGCGATATTCTGTTACAGTGAGTGACCCTATGATATTCTATGTTACAGCCACTCTGCATTATTCTATGTTATAGTGACCCTATGATATTCTATGTTACAGCCAATCTGCATTATTCTATGTTATAGTGACCATATGATATTCTATGTTACAGCCAATCTGCATTATTCAATGTTATACTGACCCTATGATATTCTATGTTACAGCCACTCTGCATTATTCAATGTTATACTGACCCTATGATATTCTATGTTACAGCCAATCTGCATTATTCAATGTTATACTGACCCTATGATATTCTATGTTACAGCCACTCTGCATTATTCAATGTTATACTGACCCTATGATATTCTATGTTACAGCCACTCTGCATTATTCTATGTTATAGTGACCCTATGATATTCTATGTTACAGCCAATCTGCATTATTCTATGTTATAGTGACCATATGATATTCTATGTTACAGCCAATCTGCATTATTCAATGTTATACTGACCCTATGATATTCTATGTTACAGCCACTCTGCATTATTCAATGTTATACTGACCCTATGATATTCTATGTTACAGCCAATCTGCATTATTCAATGTTAAAGTGACCTTATGATATTCTATGTTACAGCCACTCTGCATTATTCTATGTTATAGTGACCCTATGATATTCTATGTTACAGCCAATCTGCATTATTCAATGTTATAGCGACCCTATGATATTCTATGTTACAGCCAATCTGCATTATTCAATGTTATAGCGACCCTATGATATTCTATGTTACGGCCACTCTGCATTATTCAATGTTATAGTGACCCTATGATATTCTATGTTACAGTCAATCTGCATTATTCAATGTTATAGCGACCCTATGATATTCTATGTTACGGCCACTCTGCATTATTCAATGTTATAGTGACCATATGATATTCTATGTTACAGCCAATCTGCATTATTCTATGTTATAGTGACCCTATGATATTCTATGTTACAGCCACTCTGCATTATTCAATGTTATAGCGACCCTATGATATTCTATGTTACAGCCAATCTGCATTATTCAATGTTATAGCGACCCTATGATATTCTATGTTACGGCCACTCTGCATTATTCAATGTTATAGTGACCCTATGATATTCTATGTTACAGTCAATCTGCATTATTCAATGTTATAGCGACCCTATGATATTCTATGTTACGGCCACTCTGCATTATTCAATGTTATAGTGACCCTATGATATTCTATGTTACAGTCAATCTGCATTATTCAATGTTATAGCGACCCTATGATATTCTATGTTACAGCCAATCTGCATTATTCTATGTTATAGTGACCCAATGATATTCTATGTTACAGCCAATCTGCATTATTCAATGTTAAAGTGACCTTATGATATTCTATGTTAAACTGACACAAGTAAACACAAAGAATTTCATTATGAGAGATATATGGCCAATTAATTACACATCCTCAGATTTTATGTACTCTATGTAATCTTCCTAATTAATTAAATTCATACACATCTATTGTAAAATCAAGTCATTGCAGAATCTGACCCCCTGCTTCAACTTTAAACCTTTTATTTCTTGATGCATATAACTTTAAACCTTTTATTTCTTGATGCATATAACTTCCAGGAGGTAGGAGTCATACCTAGATCAGGGTGATTAGGGAGGTGGATATCATGAGGCCTATAGTCAGAGGAGTTCAGTGGGGGGGGGGGGGCTATTTCAAACTCATACAGTTTTCACTATTCTGAGCATTTTTCAATTAGCTTTTTGGACAAAGTTGTTAAATGTGAACCTCCTGGAATTTTGTGAATATACTTTTACTATATTCTGTAGATTGTTTGATTGTTTAGCAATACCCATAAATACATGTACATGGATTTATGAATAATTCACTTATAATGTTTAAATGATTTAAGTCCTGGTTTATTGACAGCTTTTATGAGTAGAGCCAGACATTTTGGTTTTAATCACTTTAAAATGGTATACCTTATGTATTTTATTGATAAGCCTCCAGACAAGTTGTCTAATCGTGTTAAAACATTACTACTTTATACATACACTTACACAAATCTTTTGCACCACAGGGAGCCAACAGTAATACAAACTCAGATTGTTGAAAATTGAAATCAGAGCTTTGATATAATACAATCGAAAATATATGTTGAAATAATGAATTTACCGCTATCTCTTTAATAGGATGTTACATAGAAATCGATATATTCTCAATTTGCTCATTTACAATAAGAAGGTGATCGTTAATGCTTCTACATTATGGGACTGGTCTAACCCCGTGTTATTGAACATATATTGATATTAGCAGTACAAAGTCCAAAGAGATTGTTTTTCGTTGACTTAGACCTTGCTATTGTATGAAAGCTATAATACTGCCAATTTTTTGCCGTCATAGATTAATAACGCATGTATGCTTCAAGATTCAATTTAGCAGTTTGTACAAGTGAACTGGACTTGTTATAATGGGAACCGCAAGGAGGTTAAAATAACCAGTGACTATGTAGAGCTTAAAGTAGACATAACAATTGGATTTATACAGAAGCGTTGGTTAGGATTTACATTTAAATAGGTATGATTTAAGGATTGTGATAAAGTTCTAAGTTATATGAAGGTAAAGTCTAATTCACTAGAATGGAGTGAGGTGTGAAAGTTTAGATGATGCAAAAGTGATTTTCAAAATAAGAGTAATATTTTTAAGTATGTTGTGTCTTCATATACTCTGGGGTTCTGTAAAGAAATTACTTAGAATTAGTAAAGTTAAAGTACAGCATATATGGTAGGTTAACAATACAGGTGGTTCACAATTATTCAAGTGCATCAATTTTAGACAGAACTTTGGGTGTCCATAGTTACCCTAAAGAGATGCTTAACTAACTTTACATGGCAATATTTCTTTATTCTGACTGACTACCTAAATTGCAACTTTTTACTGTACTTAAAATTTTAAAATACTGAGTTTGGAAGTTTCATATTTTTATAATGGTGCTTAATTTGAAAAAGAATTTAATCTGAATTATTTTGAAATGTAGGAGCACAATTTCTTGATATCATTATGATAGAAAAAATGAGTAACAGTTATGAGATAAATTGTTTGAAGCTAAACAAAAACTTGCTAACATCTATTTATTGCATTTCTGAATTTTATAAAATACAGCATAGAAATTTTGGCAGTTTCAAGCAGGTTTTTAACATGCTTCCTGGTCAATTGTTCCTAAATGAAGTACCACCTTAGCTCTTACTTAAATCACCTTTAACATTTAAAAATGCGATAATTATACATACATGTATTGTTTATTTCTTCAAGTTGTACCTGGTATATGTTACATTGATTTCAATAAAAAAAAGTCATCTAGGGACACCACCAACAGAACATTGCTTTGTTGTTATAACGTGTGTTAATATAAGTTATTGAATGATTTGAAGTGCAATACAGGATATATTCTGTTCGAGAAATTCCGTATTGGAACGAGACGAAGTCGAGTGCCAATACAGAATATCGAGACAGAATATATCCTGTATTGCACTTCAAATCATTCAATAACGTTTTTATCGTGTTATCCTCTGTATTGCTACTGAGATTGTCTCCTCCGTACCAATATTTTCTGTATTGCGACGGAGATGATCAACGCGGACAATCTCAGTAGCAATACAGATTGGTACAGCACAAGAACTGACCAATCAGAGGGCTTCATTTTACAGATCATGCGATAATTATAATTATTACCTGTGTATTTTCGTGAAATACCAATTAGCAATAAGTATAAAGGTTGCTTTCAGTTAACTTAAAACTATTGCCATCATATTGTTGAATGCTGCAATATGTTAAGGACTTGCGAGGAGGTAGGCACTTCTAGATCTTGACTTAAGTTATGAGGGCTCAGTGAACTATAATGTCATGATGTTCTGATTTTCTTTCTGTTCTGAATAAAATATGAAGTTATGTTTGAGAGAGAGACTTCATGATGTTTCATTTACCACTATAGTTTTCATTATGCTTGTACTTGGTATATATTAGCATGATATGAGGATATTTGACGGCTATGATGTTGAATATGATATTAGATTCAATCTTATGATATGGAATATGATATAAGACTGCAATCTGCATACATATGATGTTTAGTATGATATAAGATTGCAATGTGCATACTTATGATATGAAGTATGATATAGGACTGCAGTCTGCATATATATGATGTAGTATATGATACTAGATTCCATACTTATGATATGGAGTATGATATAAGACTGCAATCTGCAAACATATGATGTGTAGTATGATATAAGACTGCAATCTGCATACATATGATGTGGAGTATGATATAAGACAAATATAAAACTGAAGTGTTCATATTTAAGGTATTTATTTCAGAGTGTTCACAAAGACATTCTAAATTTTATAATGAAGTATATGACATGTCTTCTTTTCTTTAATGGTATTCAAAGGCCCTCCATAAGCTGACAAAAATGCTTAATATTTCTTTTTTGTATATTTCCAGGTGTTCTCTCTAACAGGCATCACGTCGCTGTACGGGTTACCGGGCGAGTTTGCAAACATGCAGGTTGAGGGGTCAGACATGGGGCTAGGCCAGAATCCTCTAGGGATGACCATGAGCCCACTTAACATCATGACCCCCAGTCCTAGCAGCATAGCCTCAAGCCCGGGAGGTGTTGCAATGGATGGTGGAGGTAAGTGTTTTTAAATGTCATGGTGATCATGTTTTGAAATACATGTACATGTATACGAGGGTTGTCCCGGAAGTAATGCACTATATGCTCTGACTTTCTTTAATATTTTTTTTAATTTAGCTGAAATTTTGTGTATATAACAATTGAAGTTCTATCTATTATATCCTAAAGTTTCAGCATCGAACATTGATATTAAGTATAATAAAGAGGAAAGTAGTGGAATTGGCATTGAATAAAGTGAATGAATATGAAATTAACATTCTAAATAGAGCAGTCTACACTTCTTATTTGGATTGAAATAAGAGCATATAAAGTAGAGAAGAATTGATGAAATGACAGAAACTTACACGAATTAATTGATCACCAATCGTCCTTCATGATATCTTAAATCATCAGGAATATTCAATAATCATTCAGAAATATATTTCTAATTCTAGGGCTTCTCAAATTTTTGCATCTTACATGATTTGGATAATACATTTTGAGTTTGATGAATTATTGTGGTTTGAAAGTTTACTGAATTTGATACATAGACTCCTTCATATAATTATAACCCTCTGTCCATGGTGTATTTAAGTAAGTTATGGTACTTTGCTAATATATGGGTGTACTGACACGCTCCTAAGTATCCATTGCTCATACATGATGATCTCTCAATCATTGATGCAAATACGTAGTAAACTCACTTGAGATTTTGAAGAGACTTGCACCACCCAAAGATTCATTTGCACCCACCAAATAATATACTTGCACCCAGCTAAAAGCGTATTTGCATTCATTTGAAAATTAGTAGAAAAAATCAGCATACTTGGACCAACTTTGGTCTGAATCTTGAAAATGAGAATTTTACATACATTTGAAAAATAATGGTAGGAAGAACTCTTATAAAGGCAGTATAGATTCGTTAAAAGGCAACTGAAAGTTCAATATATAAAATAAAGCTTCACATTTTAAGGCAATGCTCTATACTGCATCTGAGTAAGGTCAACATGTTATCGTGGCTCTGCTCCAGACAGTGTTATATTTAAATTCTCTCTTATCTTAAGGACATTGTGTTCTTATTAAACATATGTAAATGTATATACGCAAAGAACAAACATTATTTTTCCAATTCTTAGCATTGCAATCTGATCTGCTATTTTCATCTAATCATTTGTAAAATCTTAAATTACCTTTATAATTAAATCTAATCCATAAAGAATTTGTTTATTAGTTTTATTAGTCTTGGTTTTGTATTTCTCCATCCTGTATGGCATATTATATAACATTTGCTATTTTTGTTACAAACATTTTATGTAAGGGCATTATCTTGTATTGAGAATGGTATGATTTGATAAGTAGGCATGTTTTATAAATTACATATTGAATTGTTTGACAGCTATTAAAAGTACACTCTTAATAATTTATAAATGTCCTAGATTTCAGATATCATTATATTTGAATTAATGTGTTATTTTTACACCTATACACACATATAAGGGTGAAATATTCAAATATTTTTACCAAAACAGTCGAAATTTAGTGCCCTGTTTAGAAACAAAATCTGGGAGATCACTGAAAGCACAATAAGTAAATAGTTCAAATATAGGAATAGTAAAACCTGTTTAATCCAAGCTTCTGGCAGGTGTTCACATTTCAAGGTTATTGAAAAACGTAGGCAATAATATTGTATTGTATTTTATATATTATATATGGAATAAATGAGAAATGAAAAAAAGGTTATTGACATGAAAGTCTGTGACCGACCAAGAAATAGGGCAGTAAAAGACATTCACATTGAAATGTTTTTGACATGGGAGTCTCTGACTGACCAAAAAATAGGACAGTAAAAGGTGCTCACAATGAAGGTGTTCAGATAAGAGAGGTGTTCCAGATACATGTTTTACTGTACTTACCCCACGTTTAAAGTACAGTATTCTATTGATGTCTAGCAATGTCTTTCTTGTAAACAGTACACTGTAAATAAACAAATATAAACAAAAAACTACTGTTCATACAAACTGTATATATAGGACTATTTAACATGTTAATGACATATAATTTCTTCAACAGGAGGTGGTGGTCGCAGAAAGCCTAAAGAAGACAAGATATGTGGTGTGTGTGGCGACAAAGCTCTAGGGTATAACTTTGATGCAATATCATGCGAGTCCTGCAAGGCTTTCTTCAGAAGAAATGCCCTGAAAGGCTTGGTAAGTATATCCCATAGGAGGATGAGATATGTTGGATATCCCTCTGCAAAAATAGTTTATTTTATCCATGGATTGAAGAGAAATATATCAATCAAGGATTGAAGAATATGATCAATACAATATTCTAGTAACCTTTCTTTGTTAAATTATCTCTTAATAATTGATTAATGTTAAATACTACCAGATGAGGAATAGCAGTAGCTAACAAATCTGATTTTACATTTATCTTCTTTATTGATTCACATATGACTGTTACAAATTGGATTTCCTGATATTTTCTAGAAATGAAGATATTGATGAAAACAAATTATTTCTACTGGTATCAGTGATTCAAATATTTTAACTGTTAAATTGGCCGTTTTATCTTCCTTTCATGACAAGTTTTTTTCTTAAATTGAACAGCCCATGATGTTCACACCTCATCCTAGTATCAAACTGCAAGTACAAGTGCAGATGATACTTTAACACAGGCATGCAGACTTTGATCAACACCTGAATTTTGATGAATTATAGGTGTTTGTTTTTATGTCACCACTTCAGAAGTGTTGACATATTGTTATAGTCTCCAACTTTTTTATGGACATTATTCGGCGGTTGGCATTCAGTGGTTGGTGTTTGACAATTGATGTTCAGTGGTTGGTGTTCGGCTGTTGGTGTCTGTAACAAATAGCAGGTTGTGATATTTTGCATGTTTATTCAATCAGTTTCTGTTTATTCCAGGACTATTTTAAGTGCCCCTATGATGAAAAATGCAAGATGGATATATCAAATAGACGATTTTGTAAAAGATGCCGCCTGAAAAAGTGTTTCGAGATTGGTATGAGAAAAGAATACATTCTAACGGAAGAAGAAAAAGCAAGAAAAAGACAAAAGATAGAAGATAATAGGTAAGAGCAATATTACATTAGGGTTTAGACCTCGTTTATTGATTTGGACTGATATGTTCGCAAAATAATCATCAAGCTCATGAATTAAAATCATTTTATTTATTTCGTAAAAGCTTCAGTATCACTTTAGAGAATGGTGTGAAAATTTGGAATGACTTATTTATACTATGTTGAATGAGTTTTATAAATATATTGTATTACCTGTTATAATCAAAATTACTTTTTATGTTTTTATAGGTCATCCCAAAAGTAAGTTGATTATTTCACTTTCTCTGATAACTGATTAATTAGAAAAAGATTGTTCAATAATCTGTTCAGTCCAAATCAGTTAAAGGTCTATTATTTTAACTGCTTTATATAAATCCTCCTTCATCTGACCATGTATTAAAAATTAATTCTGCTTAGATTGATCATATTGTAACAAAAACTTCAAAGATTTCTCTGCCCATATTCTCTTAATAAGGCCCTGGGCATTTAAATGAGTCATGTGTAATTTTATGTGTGTTTTCTACTATAGTAAAGACCACTCACTGGATAACTTTTTGAAAATTAACTTATTTGTTCCATATTTGATGTGTAGTGTGAGGTTCATTCTTGGTTGATATGGCATAGGGCCTTGTTTCAGCATGAATTCAATTATATTAGTATCAAATGTATCATTATTCCCAAGTATAAAATGAGTCAATAGTCCCTTATGTATCATAAGTCCCACATTAGGGCATCGATAGTCCCTTATGTATCAATAGTCCCAAGTATAATATGAGTCAATAGTCCCTAATGTGTCATAAGTCTCAAATGTATCAATAGTCCCTAATGTATCATAAGTCTCAAATGTATCAATAGTCTCAAATGTATCAATAGTCCCAAATGTATCAATAGTCCCATATGTATCAATAGTCCCAAATGTATCAATAGTCTCAAATGTATCAATAGTCCCTAATGTATCAATAATCTCAAATGTATCAATAGTCCCTAATGTATCAATAGTCCCTAATGTATCAATAGTCTCAAATGTATCAATAGTCTCAAATGTATCAATAGTCTCAAATGTATCAATAGTCTCAAATGTATCAATAGTCTCAAATGTATCATAACTCCCTAATGTATCAATAGTCTCCAATCCATTGTATAATTTTACAACAAAAAGTAAGATGCAACTATTAAGTGATCATAACTTAGTGTTGATTTACTAGTAATTTATTTGCCTTCATTTTCTATTACTTAATTGATAACTGGCACTTTCAGTATTAAATTCACTGGTAATATAATAATTATACCACACCATGAGCCATTGTGTCATCACTGTACACTATAGTCTACTTCAACAAGAAATGCAATTACCAATGATGCTGTTGTATTTCATTTATTTAAAGTTGTGTCCCTTACTATACATGTAAAGTTGACCAAAAATATATAATTTTGCATGAAAAAAATCATTGGTTGTATTTTGAAAGCAAATTTACTTTAAATAAATGACCTATGAGCTCTTAAGAAATCTAATTAACAACAACAAACATTTATACAACATACCTTTATCTACCTTAGAAATACAAAGTTTTTAATCATCTAAATTATCACCCTGGGTTTCAAGGTCATTTCTTAGGTGACAAGAAATCTTGGCACTCTGGGTTTCAAGGTCATTTCTTAGGTGACGAGAAATCTTGTCATTCTGGGTTTCAAGGTCATTCCTTAAGTGGCGAGAAATCTTGTCACTTGGATTTCAAGGTCATTTCTTAGGTGACGAGAAATCTTGTCACTCTTGGTATTAAGGTCATTTCTTAGGTGTCAAGAAATCTTGTCACCCTGGGTTTTAAGGTCATTTCTTAGGTGACGAGAGATTTTGACACTCTGGGTTGTCAAGAGATTAAATAAGTAGGCATTTTTGCTCCAGATGATAATATGTTACATGGGCTATAACTAAATACAGTATATTAGAATTCATATTTTGTTGATGAAGAGATAAATTCTATGAATTGAATCACTAAATATATCTGTTTGTTTGAACAGATGTCTTCATAAAACATTCTCATTCACAGTCAGGGGTGGTGTCCAATTGTCAACAATTGTGACAAAAAGTTCATATATGCTCTGGTTTGCCTCCCACCCCCTACCCCCACATATAACGAAAATTTAATATGTTGTCAGCACCACGAGTGGTGACATATTGTTATAAGTCTCCAACTTTTTTGTGGACACTGTTTGGTGGTTGGTGTTTGGCATTCAGTGGTTGGTGTTCTGCATTCTGCATCTGTAACAAATGGCAAGTGGCGACATTTTGCGTGCCAATGCCCTCACTTTCAACCTCCCCTTCCCTACGAAATTAACTTCGGTTTTCCCATAACTGTTGATAATTAGATACAATCCCTTTGCCAGTATACATAATCCATAATTTAATAGTAGATCTACATGTTAAGTCTACATTATAAAAAATGTCATCATATTGTGATTATTAACCGAGGCTATTTTGTATGTAATTAAGTTTAATGTCATATCCTGCATATTGTACATTGAACATAATGTTAGTGTAACTCCAGACCTCCTCATACAAGCCATGATTGATAAAAATTCGTTTGATTATACCCAACTTGTGACATTATAGAGGAAGCTACGCGAAACAGCATTATTGGGATTAGTTTTCTCTACTCAAAATGTCACTGTGGTCGTGTTGTTTCCAAATACAAGGGGGTATTTAGTAAAAAGCTTTGAAATGCTATCCCTAGTTCTAGACTATATCTAAAATCAGTAAGTAAATGATAAGAATAATGTTGAAATATTTTAATGATACTCTTCCCAGTTCCCGTGTTATTTTCATACAGATCTGATATTTCATTTACTGTCTTAATGGTCCATTATGGTACAGACATGCCAATTGAGTCGATAAATGTAATTTAGAAAACATGCCAACCGTCGTAATGGCTAAAATCCTGCATATTTGTGTTGATGCAGCTTTGGATTACTCTTTCAAAAGCTAGGTCACCATGACTTATTTAACCGAACATATAGGTCATTGTACTTTCATTTTATTTTCATGTTATGATGAATGCACCACCTCCTGGTTGATAAATTATTTATTCACCAAGTGCCAAGTACGTTGATTTCGGATTTGATATCATTTTCTGACATTTCTATATAATTCAAACTGTTGACTTATTGCCTGTTTACTTTAGTCAATGCTGCTTCAAACCATTGCCAATCTGTTTTGTATTTCCTATGAAGAACACTATGTTACGGTTTTTCTCTTTCTGTAGGGTTATCCGCCACTTAGAGCAGTCTGGCCTGATGATCAAGCAAGAACCAGGCATAGATTCGTCCCCCTCCTCCAGTCTACAGGAGACGCCACTGTCACCATCAGAAATGGGCATGATTGAGGAAGTGGTATGTTAACCTTCTGCACTCCGACTTATTTCAGCAAATATATCCCACGCATCTGACTTATTTTTCAAAAATGATATGCCTGGACTAAATAATTAATATCTCAATAACTACTGAATGAATCTGGATAAAATTTTCACAAAGGGAAGATACACTAGCGTGACTCATGAGAAAAATGTTCTCATGAATTTTTTTCGTACATAAACACGACTGGGCATAAATATACCATGAATACTCCTCCGGAATCCGCCGTTTCGCCCCTCGGGAGATTCAACGTCTGGTCAGAATCCAAAACTGAATTTGCAGCGATTGAATGTTCTTCTTTTCAGTTCAGAAAATATTCTAGTTTCTATTTTCGATGACCATTATCGGCTTCCAAGAGCCTAAAGAGCTCGAAATCGCAATCCATTTCCTCCACATTTTCGTTGTGATCGTATTTGGCCGTCATTTTGTACGATTTGTTCACTAAAAACGACTTAAACACTGTTTAAATTGTTGAATTTAGAAATATTTTTCGAAACATCGCCATTTCTAGGTCAACAGGAAGTCACCTACTAAGGACTGAATAAATCGGGCAATCTAATTGGATCATAAGAACGGCGGGAAAAAGTATAGTTTTCAAAAGTTAGATTTGTGTCGTCCGGATCCGCCGGTGGATTCTGGCGGTAATTTTGAATGGGCGGACGCGGTCGCCGGTGGTCTGCTAAAGGTTAAATGACTTTTCACCCTTATCTTTTGGTAGTACAGTAAAACCTGTAAAGTGGAACACCTCCATAAGTAGAACACTTTAAAGTCCTCTTACCCATTAACTTAATGTAAACTGGGCCTCTGTAAGTAGAACATCTATATGGAAAACTGTCTTGAGATGCCAAAGTTGTTCCAATCTTGGCTAATAATGCTCTTTGAGCTTAGTCAAATTGTATTGTATTAATTATTGATTTTTGTAAAAATAAAATAAACTATATATAAAAAAAAAGTTGTTCCACTTACACAGATTTTTCTGTTATTCTATATTTACGCATGGCAGGCTAATTAGAGTACTTTCAATTTTATTAATTACTTGATAAAAAAGTCAGACTGAAATTTCTGCATTTGGGAAAATTTAAAATTGAGAAATCTGACATTCAGTACATGTATGAGATCTTTCAAGCATTGATGCAGTCTTTTGTTGTAACGGCACATTTTTAAAGATTTCATAATAATTTCAAAGTCAATATAAATCAAACAAATGGACAACTGTGAGCCCATAGAACCACATGTTTGTCTTAACCATAAGTCCATGTACCATTATCTATGAGACGATGATATATTTGTAATTTGACCTTAACTTTTCAACTAGACATACTTTTTGAACTTGATCAATCTCTAAAGTTGATCACCATCACAATGGATGAGTCTGCAAAAAGTATACCTTCTTGCATTCTAAATTGTTAGGAAATTATAAAGAAATATGCAGAAGGAATCTCCACGTGAGCCGATGAATTATGCCATTTTTGGTTTATTCCTGGTGTTAATTTATATGAACTTCTCCTGACATTGTAATAATGTTCGGTAAGAGTGACATCATAAAACACAATAATCGTAACATCAGTAAGTCCTGCGGAAAACAAGTTTCAAATTATTGTCATTGCCCCGTACTTGACGTAAATGTCAATATTTTTATTCTATGGGTAGATTTAATACGATTTATGATCATTTTCAAAATATTGATGTATTATCAGATGAGGGGGATATAATAACTCATCGGAGTGTGACATTTTGAAAATTGTCACAACGAATAACTCCTTCATTTGATAAAAAATTGTGGATGATTTTGGGAATTTAAGGAAATGGTTTGGAAATCACTAATATCCGGTTGCGATAATTTCTCCTTCTCTGAACAATGAATTCAACCTTTATTGTTTTCAGTAATGATAATTTAAGTATGGTAATTTTAGCTCATGAATAACATCTCTTCTTTGCTCACATTGCTGAGCTATTATTGTTGTTGTCGCCCACTTGTCTTGTTTATTTTTCGTTACATACATAAAGATAACATTTTTCAGTAATAGTGCATACAAGCTCAAACAATTATACGTTACCCGGCACTACATCTAACAAAAATCTATTTTCAAGTTTGTCAAAGTTCGGATCTATAGATCAACATTTTCAATTATATATAATTATATGTTGCCATATACTATTGGCACTATTATATGTTACCCTGTACAATTATATGTTGCAATATACTGACGTTACCATGTACACTTTGATATGTTACTGTACTTTTGTACATTGCAGGTTAATGCCTATAGAGCATCTTTGGAAATATCAGTTGAGACTGATGTCTCCAGACAACATCCTTCCATGGAGGACTTGGTTAACATTGCAGAAATAAGTGTAAGTGTTTCCTCATCTCAAATATTCATCTCTGGTTTTATTTACTCTATTTCTCTCTAAATTGAATAAATTGATTTAATTTAGAATCATATATAGATTTAATCTCAGTTTGATATATTTATTATCTATCTGTGTTGTCTTTCTGTTGTTGTTTCAATGTTGGAGATCTAGGATTTACGTAATATTTACACATGTGGTCTCATTTTTTGACTTTTAAATCTCAATTAACTAGGTATACAGTGCACCCAGGCAAGATTGCTCAATAAGCCTATTAGTTGTAAATTGTAATTTTCCAGAGTGCCAAATTGATCAGTCACAGAATTATTTTACTTAAATGTTCTGTTCAGTTTACACAAATTATGTATTGAAATGAGTTTAGTTGGACTGTGTTAAGTAACATCAAAAAACTTAAATAAATAAAGTAAATGTAAGTGAAGTAAAATGGCAAGTATCAAGTGTTTCAAGGCTCTACCCCAGGCTGACCAGATATCATTGTTAAAAGGTGGCAGCATTGAACTTCTAATCTTACGCTCAAGAGGTTAAAGATTTTAAATTGATAACTCAATAACTTTTTCAAATTTCGTTTCAGGTTAGACGGGTGATCGATATGTCGAAAAAAATCAAGTGTTTCAAGGCTCTACCCCAGGCTGACCAGATATCATTGTTAAAAGGTGGCAGCATTGAACTTCTAATCTTACGCTCAGTGATATCATTTGACAAGGAAACACACACGTTCCACGATGCCAACGATTCGCAGGAAGATGCTATGAATGTAGGCCAGCTGAAGGAAGCTGACGGCAGACTCTTTGATGAGCACATGAAGTTTGTCCGCTCCATGGCTTTGGATTTGAAAGTGGATGAAACCACCATGATTCTCTTGCTTGTTATTTGTCTGTTTTCTCCCGATCGGCCGAACCTATTCAATAAAGACGTTGTGTATAAGGAACAGGAAAAGTACTCACTTTTGCTTAAGAAATATCTCGAGTCACGGTATAATAGCACCGATGCACAGTCGTTCTATCCTAAACTACTTATGAAACTTGTGGACATACGAAATTTGAATGAAGAGCATTCGTCAGTGCTTCTGCGGGTGAATCCGGATGCTATTCAGCCCTTAATGATGGAGGTGCTGGACTTGCGTGGGGACAGAGACAGCGATAGTGATAAAACCCTAAGTCCAATTCCGACCACATGAAGCGCCACCTATCCTAAAACTACAGTCACATGTTGGTCATGCGGAAATAAAAGTTCCTCTCAGATAAGAAACTAACAACATAATCGGATAATTATTTGGAGTCCAATGAGAAACCTGTTCTCTATCAGCTATGGATCATTCAAACTGATGTAGGATTGCAACATATAGAATATCAGCTATAACAGCATGAGTCAAAGGTGATAAAGCCTCTATATGGCATGGAATATATGAGAAAAGCAAGGAATATACTACAGTACATGCGTGTATAAACATACAACACGCATGGCCAGCATGCTGAGAGAGAAAATATAAACAAGGAAGAATAAGGTGTGAGCTTCAGCAAATATCATAGTCATTTTAGCCAACACTAAATGCCAAATACGTCTAACTGTGAAAATGCAGCACTGTACAATAGCAATACTAAATGTTATGCCGCCTAAATGTGCAAATTATTATTTGGTTTAGTCTAACATTAAGACAATGCTCAACTCCCGCAGCCTTCTCACATGGTCGGAGTGATATACAATGATACTAGGGATGTTTTAATGTTAGACTATTTTGGCATTGTTATTTGGTGCAACTGATGCTGTATATAATAAGCTATTGTTATCATATATGCTTGAAAAGTAATGCTTTGTGTATTTCAGTAAGGTTGTAGATATACTTGTAAAACTATTGTGTTCATATATGAATGAAAGAATATATAACATCATATATATTCGACATAAATGCGAAAATCAAACTTTGAATCAGAAATAAGTCAATGATCTAGCTTGCTTTAGTAGACCCTTAATCTTCGGCATCCCTCTGAATTTGAATGAAAATATGGGATAATTTAAGTTTTTGATTGTTCTACCATGGTCACGTTGCTATGGTGCATCATTATGACATCACTAAACAGCGTGAACAAGAAATTGATCTTGATTTCTCTTAATTTTATATTCTTGTGATTAATATCTATCTAGTGCAGTTCTTATTTGCTTAAATTTCCTCTTTTGTGAAACTTGGATCTGCAGATAATCGTCATCCACTTGATACCCAATGTAAGCTAGAACATTGACTCGATATCATTCCTTCCAGTTTTCTATTCCATCAGGTGCGGCAGTATTTGCCTTTGTCCACATATTTGCGGAAACTTTGAAACTTGAATTTCGAATCAGAATTCATATTTTAACATTCGGAAAACTAGAAGGAGTGTTGAATATATATAAACATGATTGAATGAAATCATCAATAAGCATCAATGACATTGTACATAGACATATATACATCATCAAACTGCAATTCTGTTATGAGAAAAACATTATTATGTGATAGATTAATTATAAATAAACACATGGTCTCTCTTGTGTAGAGTCAACTTCAGGGAATGGGAGTGAGGAGGTTTGAGTAATCAATGGAAATTTCCATGCAAAGTCGTCATGGTGATCATGTTTTGAAATGCAAAATAGAGTACATGAGTGGAATTATCAAGGAATAAAATCAACAGGCATGTTGTCAAAACTCTAAATTAATGAGAAATGTCGGATAATTGGCTATTTGAATCAAATTTTTGAGATGAAATTTAAATGCGGGAGAGTTGAGTCATATTCAGTTTCGAATTTGAACATTATTTTTAGTCAAATGTTATTTCATGTAACCACTTTGATGTTATAGAATTTCTGATAACAAGCAAAACCATAAGAAAAAAATAACAGGCAAAATGTCTATTCATTACTCAGTCGATCAGTATGCATACTCTATAGTAAAATGCCAAATTGTTCAAGTTGAACGAACCTGAAGATTCACGAGTGGATTTGTTCCATAAATTGAATGATGACGTCTTTAGCAGCGCTAAATTGTAAATATGTATTTAATAGAGGCCTAACAACAATATTATGATTTTGATTTTGTTTAATAATTAATGAAATATTTGCCAGAGCAGCTAAGCGTTACATAAATTCATTACCTATTATTAGAAGATGTCAAGGTGGTCTTGTTTTGAAATGCAATATAAATGGAAAATAGTGGGTTTAGCAAAGGTTGTTGCCCGAGCTTAAAAAAATTATTCTGTGATTACTAATTACTAAATATATATCATAAGAGAAAATTTTTTTACGATATATGAAACTCATCCAAATTTAACTACTGTTTTCTATACTTTTGCAGTACAAACCTTACTACCTTGACAGAGACTTTAACTAAATATTAGTGTAATGTATTGTTTTCGAGCAGTCAGGTGTACAGCCTCGTAAAAGATGAATTATTAGGTTTCATCTATTAATTATGCATTGTTACTTCATTGACTTAAATAACCAAGTACTGGTTTACAGTGGGTGAATTTGAGCCATCTTTTGAGACTGTGGATTTCACTGAAATAGAAACAGCTTGATACGGAACTGTTGACATTTTGCGCTTAACTTTGATATGAAATGCTTCCCCGAAGTTCATGTTACAAACTTACATGTGTACATGTGAAAATTAGAAATGGCTGCCTAAGATTTACCCATCCAGCATTGTTTGGAAACACTTAGAAAATAAAAATAAAATGCCCATCCACCAAGTTGACAAGACATAAATAGGCCTGTAATAAAAAGATAACACATCCTTCCAAATTCCAAGAAGGTCAATTCATGTTAAGTATAGGCTACCTGCAAGACCTTGTGACCCCCCCCCCCCCCCTCTACTTGAGTACACACCTCACATAAATGTTGTAGTGGGGGATCACAAGGGCGTATAGCTAGTCTAAGTAAGAGTTTCACAAATGTTTTTCATCTCTGATATATTCAGAGTTTCACTTGGATATGTGAATGAAGTGGGACTGATCACCCCATTCAAAGATTTTTTGAAACTGTATTAGGCTTTACGAGCGTATTTAAGTTAATAACATGTGTGGGGATAAGCTTATAGCTACATGTAGAATTATTTAAGCTTTGACATGAAAGGAAGGGTAAATTTTAAAATGACATGTGTGCCGTCTGGCAGTGCTTTGGAATCATGATACCCTATGTTCTCAAAATAATAGACATGCTGTAAATTATCAATAACTTCCAATTCGAGAATGAACTGAGAATAAATAAAACCAGAAGTTGTAATAAATAGAAGTGAAAATGTCCATGCAGTAAATCATATTAAAAAGTAAATAAAATATATTGTTGCTTTTTATGCTTTTGCATATACAGAAGACTTATACTAGAATGAAGTGTCCATGTGACTATCAGTTTGAAATAATAAAATATGAAAATAGAATTTATGTATTAAGCACTTGTTATCAAAAATTCTAAACTAAAATGCCCGCTTGTATATTGATCGATCTTGTTATGATTTATTTTCATATTTTGTGCTTTTAGTGCAGCAGTCAATTGTATATACATGATTTATATAGGGGTAAAATAAAGCTAAAGAATTAAAGATATATTTAACTTTGTTCTGTGCACTTCATTCCTATAAGAATATGTAACATTATTATGTCACCACCAAAAGTGGTGACATATTGTTATGGTCTCCGTTTTTTTGCGACGGCGGTTGGTGGTTGGCGTCCGGCGGTTGGAGGTTGGCATCCGGCGTCTGTAACAATTTCTTACATTTCCTATAACTTAACAAATACTGTTTAGACTGACTTCAATTTTTTTCTAAATCATCTACATGTTCTCAGAAGTTCAAATCTGACTTTAGATTTGACATTTGACCTTCAATGACCTTCTCAAGGTCAAAAAGGTCTTTTTTCAACTTGCTTCACATTGACTAAATTTTTTTTCAAAATCATCTACATGTTCTCAGAAATTCAAATCTGACTTTAGATTTGACCTTCAAATCTGACTTTAGATTTGACATTTGACCTTCAATGACCTTCTCAAGGTCAAAAAAGGTCTGTTTTCAACTTGCTTCAAATTGACTAAATTGTTTTTCAAAATCATCTACATGTTCTCAGAAATTCAAATATGACTTTAGATTTGACATTTGACCTTCAATGACCTTCTCAAGGTCAAAAAAAGGTCAAAAAGGTCTTTTTTCAACTTGCTTCAAATTGACTAATTTTTTTTTTCAAAATCATCTACATGTTCTCAGAAATTCAAATCTGACTTTAGATTTGACATTTGACCTTTAATGACCTTCTCAAGGTCAAAAAAGGTCAAAAAGGTCTGTTTTCAACTTGCTTCAAATTGACTAAAAAAAAATTTTCAAAATCATCTACGTGTTCCCAGAAATTCAAATCTGACTTTAGATTTGACTTAAGATTTGACATTTGACCTTCAATGACCTTCTCAAAGTCAAAAAAGGTCAAAAAGGTCTTTTTTCAACTTGCTTCAAATTGACTAAATTTTTTTTTCAAAATCATCTACATGTTCTCAGAAATTCAAATCTGACTTTAGATTTGACATTTGACCTTCAATGACCTTCTCAATGTCAAAAAAGGTCAAAAAGGTATTTTTTCATCTTGCTTCAAATTGACTAAATTTTTTTTCAAAATCATCTACATGTTCTCAGAAATTCAAATATGACTTTAGATTTGACATTTGACCTTCAATGACCTTCTCAAGGTCAAAAAATGTCAAAAAGGTATTTTTTCAACTTGCTTCAAATTGACTAATTTTTTTTCAAAATCATCTACATGTTCTCAGAAATTCAAATCTGACTTTAGATTTGACCTTTAATGACCTTCTCAAGGTCAAAAAAGGTCAAAAAGGTCTGTTTTCAACTTGCTTCAAATTGACTAAAAAAATTTTTCAAAATCATCTACGTGTTCTCAGAAATTCAAATCTGACTTAAGATTTGACTTAAGATTTGACATTTGACCTTCAATGACCTTCTCAAAGTCAAAAAAGGTCAAAAAGGTCTTTTTTCAACTTGCTTCAAATTGACTAAATTTTTTTTTCAAAATCATCTACATGTTCTCAGAAATTCAAATCTGACTTTAGATTTGACCTTCAATGACCTTCTCAATGTCAAAAAAGGTCAAAAAGGTATTCTTTCATCTTGCTTCAAATTGACTAAATTTTTTTTCAAAATCATCTACATGTTCTCAGAAATTCAAATATGACTTTAGATTTGACTTTAGATTTGACATTTGACCTTCAATGACCTTCTCAAGGTCAAAAAAGGTCTGTTTTCAACTTGCTTCAAATTGACCAAATTTTTTTTTCAAAATCATCTACATCTTTTCAGAAGTTCAAATTTGACTTTACAAGTTCTCAGAAATTCAAATCTGACTTAAGTTTGAACTCATAATATTGTGAGCAACTAGGTGGTGACATTTTGTCATGTTAATGCCTTGTACTACTATAGTTAAAGGAGGATTGGCTCCCAGGGTTCCAACTTGATATTCTGCCATATATGGAAATGTTTAGATTACAAAATTTGAATTCAAATGGCCACCATTTTGTTTACTCCAGAATTTGAATCACAAGTTTCGGTCTTATTTCTAAACAAAAAATTCCAAAACACAAGAAGTAATTGTTGACATATCATTGGCGTCGGAAGGGGGAGGGTGTTAGGGGCGACCATCCCCCCACCCTTTTCCCAGATCTTTTTAGATTTAAAACCGAGCCTAGAATTGAAAGCTCTGAAGCTAATTAAAATCAAAGTGTAATAATGACAGAAATAGCAGTTTACAGTGCTCACTATCAATAAATGACACCTGGATTTGCTGAAGCGAGGATTTCCCATGGTAAAAACGAGAGAATTTTCAAGGGGCCATACATTAGTAGTTCAGAGTCTACAAAATGTAAAATACCCAAAACTAAAAGGTTGTGTATCTAGATATTTTTGGAAAGTATGAAGTCTCAAATCACCATGGTCTGGGAATGTTGATAGAAAATCAAGATGCCATTTATATATGGTGAGCACTGTATGTCATATCTAGTCTACATCAAGCATAGAAGATCTCATTTCTCATATTACATTTAATTCTATACCATAGTTTATCAGGAACCCATACAGTATGTTAATAGGCTACTTTGAAGAATAAGTGCAAAATGTATATTGTAAAAATCAAAGTTTATTAGCCAAAGTCAAGTTAGTTTTCGAAAAACAGAATTTTTTCTTTTACTGTCATATTGTACTGAGATATGTATAGAATGCACCAGAGAGTGTCTAAATTTGAACATTTTCTGGGGGCATGCCCCCCGATCCACGCTTCACGCACGACCCATCCAAGAGTCGGCCCCTCCCTTGGCAAATCCTTCTGACGTCCCTGTATATTGGTTTGAATCTTTTGGATTGTTGATTATGAATTTATAGTCAGCTATAATGTCAGAAAATAATGACATTTTCATTGTTGGAAAATATTTAGTTGCGTCCCTGAGAGTCAATCCTCCTTGACTTTAGTACTTAGTCTTAGGGCTCCCACTACTATCTACTTTAACCCGAGGGGATCACAAGGGCTTGAAAAACACTGATGGCAATAATTAACTAAATAGAAAGTTTTAAAATACTTTTTAATTTATTTCTCTAGACAAATCTATTGTAAAAGTTGCACTTATAGTAGATCTCATGAAATAATACAAAATACAATATGGCCACCTTGTAATTGTTTAAAAATGAGATGATAGATTGTGTACATACCATATATGTAAATATTCACAATTAGCAAGACTGACCACCTGGTAAGTCATTGCAAATGGTTACAAAAGTGTAACGATATGTAACAGAGACTATGTTGACAGTTCCCTCCAAAATACTGAATGTCTGTCACAAAAAAGGTGGCTATAACATGTTAATCTGAAGATTATATGCAAAATAAATTTTAAAAAAGTAACAATTGTTACAAACACCGGATGCAATATTAATAATAAATATTTGTTAGGAAAAATATTGATAACCAAATTTCAGCCCCATATGAGGGAACAAGGTCGACAAAAGACACAAGTCAATGACTAATCCCTCATGGTGTTCACCTACTACTGTACTTGAAAGTGAAACTGCCATGGCTGCCATTTTTACAAAATACCTCCATTACTTTTTCAGTTAAAGCAAAAATCGTGACACATAAAAATGGCGGCCATTATTCAAAATGACTGCTCATTAGCCAAACTGTCATGAGAAAGTGTAATATGCTTCTAACTAGGCACATATAAGATTTCAACAAGGTATAGTAAAACACACAAGTAAAAATGGCCACCTACTAGCCAAACTATCATGAGACAGCGTCCCATGCTTATAAGTATTCACATATCAAATATAAACAAAATCACTTCACTATTTTTCCAGTGACAGCAAAAAATTGTAAAATAGCTTGTAACGGCTGCATTTTTTCAAGATGGCCACCATGTTTTTTGAATATTTAGATTTTCAACTTAATATCCAAAAATATTTTTGCATTTAAAACATATCAATATTACATTTCAATATGTTGTGCCTAAAATACTGTAAAATTGACACTAAATGGTGGCCATTTTGAAACCAGCAACCATTTTGAAAATCCGCTCTCAAGCAGAATGGGGCATATACTTATAAAATATAAACAATATTGGTCCAATGGTATTTGAGTTATTGCCAAGATGGACAGATGGATGGAGCCATTCTCTATATTCCACGAACTTCGTTTGATGGGAATCCAAAAACACAATAATGTGCATTACACATACACCATCTATCACAGGTTATGCTAAATCGATAACGGTGTCAATCTTTTACAAAAATGCTTTATACATGTATACATGACTGTGTGATGATTGAGATTCCAACAAGTACAATATACAGAGAAATCGATACAAAAAAGATCTAACCTAAATATTATGTAACATTGTAAAAAAAACAAAAAATGTAAAGTATGCTAAAAATCATTTTAATTTCAGATCCATAAAAACACTAACCCAATTGAAAAGAAAATGATGGAAAATAACTGGGTTTATACCTTTATATATGCTTTATAACTTTATATATAAAATAAGTAAATTACAAAGAAATCTTTAAAAAGTATATCACATATGATAATAAAAATACAAGTGTATAAAATATCTAATAACAATATAATAACAGTGTTGACAATGAAAGTAAACATCTATAGAATTATGGATACATCATCTAACAAACAACAGAATGTGTTGATTTTCTGAATTTAAAGGGAAATGTTCCCCAAATTGTATATGTTGATCTCATATAATAACTATAGCACATCCCCGTGTACAACTTGTTGACATTTTTATTTCTTTTCCTCAGAAGCTCCTTTATTTCCAAACTGATCGATGTAGTAACTCGCACCATTCCATATGATTACCAGCATCATAGTAACAATAAATATAGTGTGGGCTATAAAGTATAAATACCACAAAACACCAAGGAACAGTGTCAGCAGGCAGTATGTATAGTTCAATAAGTTGTAGACCAATGGCTCGTACCTGAAAGTAAAAATCTTGGTTATATTATTTCAGACTACTGCACTGCCACATCATCTTCACACGCTCGGTCTTTACCGCATTCAGGCCAACAGTATGAGACTAAACAAAATGCTGAAGATGACAAGGGGTGGGGCTCCGACATTTTATCTTTATTCTTCAATAGTATACACAACTTTCAAGCCAGTAAAAAAAGATTTCAGTATCTTTTGCAGAATCAATAAGTAAAAATAAACAAAGTATAATAATGTTATCGCCACGAGCCATTACAGACATATTCACATGTCTTTTCACCATTATGGGACTATTAAAATACAAGTATGTGAGAGTATTTTTATTAAGACTTGTTTATAAAGATGGCGCATGGCATTTTAAAATCTTGTAAAAAAGTGTGTCTGTTGTCAAAGGCAGGGGTTGAGCTAAGGTTCTGAGAGCAGCCGGTCAAATTGCATTATGGACCAGTTGCCATGTTATTTTTCTATAGGCTACCTACTGAAAAAATCAACTGGTCCTTATGAAAAGTGACCTGGTAAATGACATGTTGACCTGCCCTTAGATAAAGCTCTGATCATAGGTTTCTTTACTTACTTTTTTCCACAGCCATTGAGTAGTTTGTGGAATAATCCTTCCTTTGAACTGAGAAATCGTTGGCTGTTGGTATACTCTTTTGATGGCCTGATTATAGCATGAACCAGCACTGCATATAGCAACTACAGAGAGAGAATGTTACATATAAAATAAATAAAATGTTTCTCAGTTTGTTACTAAGTTTATGATATACTTTGCATGGGACATTTAATGCCAATTAGCAATACTCTGACCTTATGTTCTGTATTATTTAATTGGGAAATAAAATTATGGATTCCAAATTTTCTTGAACTATGATGCATATGTATTTTAGAAAACAGGGGTATAAAGAGTAGCTGGTATTTCATGTCACCCCAAGAACGCCTGTATATCACGCCCGGTGATCGTGAATATGGGACGGAGGGGGGGGAGCAGGCAATTTCTGCTAGGAAATTCAACAAATCTGGAAGATTTATTTTTTCAAGAAAAAGTTTACTATTGAATTGCTTAATGGATAGGCGCACGGTATGGTAGAATATGTTAGGTTTTCTGGGATTTTTTCTGAAACGATACGCATCTAAGGTATGAGATCTATTAAAAAAGGCGCAAGGCCATCAACAGGCACAAATCAACGTTTTTGCTATAAATCAAGCAACAATGGTCTGGACGACTTGTAATAAATACTTGTAAGTGATGTTATCATAACTAAATTAATGTCATTGCTGAATTTATAAAATAAGTTTCCATATGTGAAATAAAAAAATAATCGAAAATAATGAATTTGGGATGGAGGGGGGGAGGGGACGGAGGGGGGGAGCAATATGTATATAAGACATGATAAGAGATGTTTCGCGACTTTAAGTCCTTTTACTCCAAATGTCCCCATTTTTCAGTCTCCAGGGGTATATCATCCAGTTTCTTACTAAGTTAATGAGTTCATTTTTCAAATACAAGAATTCGTGTGAAGTTATTTCACTTTATAGAATTATTACTCCCCCCCTCCGTCCCCTCCCCCCTCCGTCCCATTTTAATTATTTTCGATTATTTTTTATTTTACGTATGGAAACTTATTTTATAAATTCAGCAATGACATTAATTTAGTTATGATAACATCACTTACAAGTATTTATTACAGGTCGTGTAGTCCATTGTTGCTTGATTTATAGCAAAAACTTTGACTTTTGCACGTTGGTTGCGTTGCGCCTTTTTTAATAGATCTTATATCTTAAAAGAGTATCGGTTGAAAAATAATCCTAGAATACCTAACATATTTTATCATACCGTGCGCTTATTCAATTTGCAATTCAATCGTAAACTCGGTCTTGAAAAAATAATTTTACCAGATTTGTTGAATTTTCTAGCGGAAATTGCCTGCTCCCCCCCTCCGTCCCATTTTCACGATCACCGGGCGTGTATATATAAAATGTAAAATGTTTGCCCAACATAGGCATAGCAAGGGGAGATACAATGGGTGCAAATGCACCTCCCCCATAACTGATAAAAACGGAACCATTAAATAGAAAAGAGCTTTAAAATGTTTTTTTTATTTAAAGCTTCTAGCTCAATTTTGAAGGAAGTTGCATCAATATTTGTAAAATTCAAAATAAATCTCAATTTTTTTTATTCGGCTCGCTTATATTACTATAATATACTTCACTGTAAAGTCTAAATACAAAGGAAATTTTTCAATAAAAGTCATTAACGTAAAAAATTGAATAAGAAAAATGGATTCATGAATTAATGAATCAAAAAAAGCAAGCCTGGTGGTCTCAAAATATGTTGACCTTTTCATTAAATATACTGTTAAATACATAAATGAAAATAGTGTATAAAATAATTTAAGTGACAAATTGTATATTGTGCTTTACAAACTGTTAATGCCTTTCTTAACATATTATATGATGATTTTAAAACAAATTGATTTTCTTTTCATTAGAAACTTTAAAGCAAAAAGTTTTTGTTATACATTTTGATGTACCATAAAAAAAGTATCCGACCTGACTTTTTTATGCATGTTTTTTCATTTCAATCATTTCTTGTAATAGTGTATAACTCAATTGCAACTTCAGCAGTAAACAGAAAAGTTCATGTACACAAAAATAATATGAAATGTGCCTGTCAAGGTGCTGGTAAAGCACATGGGAATACTCATGCTTTGTAATATGAAGCCTGTAAATGGGTACTCCTACTTACGCTGTGTAATTTGAAGCCTATAAATGGCAACTCCCTACTTATTATATTCGATATGAAGCCTGTAAATGGGTACTCCCTACTTACGCTGTGTAATAAAAAGCCAGTAAATAGGTACTCCCTACTTACGCTATGTAATAAGAAGCCAGTAAATGGATACTCCCTACTTATGTTATTTAATAAAAAGCCAGAAAATAGGTACTCCCTACTTACACTGTGTAATATGAAGCCTGTAAATGGGTACTCCCTACTTACACTGTGTAATAAGAAGCCAGTAAATGGATACTCCCTACTTATGTTATTTAATAAAAAGCCAGAAAATTGGTACTCCCTACTTACGCTGTGTAATATGAAGCCTGTAAATGGGTACTCCCTACTTACACTGTGTAATAAGAAGCCAGTAAATGGATACTCCCTACTTATGTTATTTAATAAAAAGCCAGAAAATCGGTACTCCCTACTTACGCTGTGTAATATGAAGCCTGTAAATGGGAGTAGCACAAGATAAAGAAACAACAGGTCAGTCCTGTCTAAAGCAAGATGTTCTGTCACAAAGTCTGTATACCAATATGTTGATGTAGATGATGGAAACCAGTGGACCCTGGAAGAAATTAAGAACTCTAATTAAAAGAATTTAACACTGTATTACACTGGTTAGATTAGAAGACATATGATTATAATCTATGTAACAGGAAGGTTAGTGTGAAAATTTGACATCTTTTGGTCAAGTACAATTTTTTTGTTTTTTTTAGTTTAAACAGGGAAATAAGTTGTGTACTGAATTAGTGAAAATATCAAAAGGGGGTAATACTCCTAGAATTCAAAGAGTGACCTCCTTTTAAAGATGGCCCTCTTTCAAATTGGTCTAAGATGATTCCTTATGCCAGCAGTTTTACTACATTTAGTACATATATTTCCAATTAATCTCTGTCTTTATTTTGATATGTATAATGTACAGGTTATATTAACGTATTGCCGATGTGGCGCCAAGATTTCTTCCTTTTTATTCTAATTTATCATCCAGCTTTCAAAACATAAAACTAGAAGGGATGTTACTCTGAGCATACATTACTTGATCCCTGTCATCAATTGAATCATGCAGGTAGATAAAGATATTTGTGTCACATTCTTCACCTTTGACATTTTAACGCTAAAATAACTCAACAATAATTTAGAGAAACCATGTTTTCTGTCTTTGTATGCTCATGTATTATAAAATCGTTTAAAAATTATATTTTCTGAACTTGGATTTTTCAAACTCTGTATTCTCGCAAATCGAAAATTCACTTGTTGATACATTTACAATCAACAAATTGAAAGATAATTAGTATTCACGAATCGTGTTCGAAACATTTGAATAGATGAAAAGAGACAAGTATCAACATTCTATTTGGGTGTTCTTTGAAAATATGACATTGAAATCTGCAGGTGTTATTAGATCATATTACGATGACACCGCCATGATATTTACTGGTGCTGTATGTCATTTTTCAAATTAAACTGGCCATAGAATTTCAAAACTATTAGAACTATCCGTGTTTTTTGGAAACTGTGTGTGTGGCCATTTTTGAATTCAAATAAAACCATTTAACAATGGTAATGATTGTAAGACTGATGGTATAATTTGCAGGGTACGCAGACAGAGGTTTCCTGATCCAATTCAATCCTGATGAAACATTATCATGACCCCCCCCTGTAAACAAAAGTCACTTACACATATGAGATAAATGCAGGAATGGTGTGTATATATACAGATGTCATCTTGTCATTGCTATGGAACACCAATGAGTTACGAAAGAATAAAGCTGCCCAAAGTAGCGGACCATTAGCATAGGCAAACACAACACCAAACAGTGGAATGTTGGAAGGCTGAGCCCTGAAAATACGAAAAAAAAACTTTCTGTACTTTTTATATTATGATTAACTGTCATTTTGTACTATTAACTTGTAACAGGTGTAATATACCATATTCTCTCTAATGAGCGCACAGTGCAATTTCCAAATTAAAAGGGTAAGATTTTGAGAGAAGAAAAACATATTTTTAGTTGTTATCTCATTAACAAGCTCTAGAAAGAATAAGGTAGGTGCAAAATCTTTGTCAATGAGAGAGTTTAAAAGGTAGGTGCAAAATCTTTGTCAATGAGAGAATATGGTAGGTGCAAAATCTTTGTCAATGACCTTAGTCTACCAGCCTTGAAATGACACTGAATCATAAATCACATTTTTTAAATGAGACAAAATATAATACAAAACTGTAAACATTGCAACTTATGGTATTTCCACGCATAAAAACATTGAGATCACGTTCTGAATTGTGTAGAGAAGACGAGGCTGTCCCAACCTTGAACGAGTTTGACTATATGAGTGTTACCACTAAGACTAGCCTTGCTCAAATCGGTCTCTTTTACTTATAATTGATTTCTATTATGACCATGATTCAAGATCTGATAATTAAAAATACCGACTTGGGCAAGACTATACCAAGGCCTGTAAGATTGAAATCAAAAATGAAAGCCTTCAGGTAGCCTTAGTCCTAGTAGTAGTATAGAGTAAAAATTGCTGTAATTTTTTTTGTTCACATCTAAAACAATTACAGAACTCATAAAATAGATATCTATACTTTTATTTGTTCACAGCTAAAACAATTACAGAACTCATAAAATAGATATCTATACTTTACTGGGTATGAAATGAATGAATTAATATATTAGCCACTACTTACCAGAGGAAAACATATGTGAGGATATTTCCAAAATAACAAAAGTCTATTAGGAAAAACTGCCATTTGTTCTTCCTGTAAATAAAACAAAAAAGGAAAAGACATGTTTAGTTATTTATTCATTTGCTTTTAGTGTATTCTTTTGTTTGTTTATTTGTTTCATTTTAACAATCGATGCTCTAATGAGTCATTGTATAACTTCTAGGTATTTCCCCAATGAAGTGATGCATGTATATATTTTGATAAAGGCATTAACATGCAAAATGTCACCACCTGCCATTTGTTACAGATGCCGAATACCAAATGCCAAACACCATCCACAAAAAAACTGAAGACTATAACAATATGTCACTCAAACATTACCATCAAATATATGATGATTACTTTATCTTCATTAATAAAAAACAACTTACCAGTATGTTACAATTCTGATAAATATTAGTATAGGAGAGCTTGCTGTGTAGTAATATGGTAAAAACCAATGCAGTGACATCATACAATACGCCATGGTGATCATCGTTGACACAGATACAACAAATATAATCTTTTCGAGGATTCTCTTCTTCTTTGTGACCTGAGATTTTAAAAAATCATTATTACAGGCACTAATGTATATTAATTTATTAATTTGCAATCTATATTAGATGGATAAATAGATGGCAGTGGTGATTCTGTTTGGGCTAGAGTAACATTAGATAATATGGATAAAACTGACAAGTCTTGTTGAGGTGTAGATTGGGATTTAACCTTAAAATTGTGATTCTAGAGAGAGGAAATTTTGCCTGACTTTTTCAGAACACCTAAATATCTTGGTACATGTAATTCAAATGAATATGAGAAAATAATTTTTTAATGAAAGTTTTTTTCAAGTAGTAAAAATAAGTATTACAAATGTGTTGACAAATAGAAGAAAGATATCATTAACTGATGAATACGCAAATCTCCCTAAAGTCTTGAAAATTAGACTTCAATGATATTTCAAAGCTATAGGGCAAAGACTCTGCCAGAATATAACTACATGTATAGTGATATTTATTAACCTGAGACATGACATGCACATATGAAAAGAAACCAGATCACATCAAGCACATAATAGAAAAAATAATATGATTACAAGTTTTCATGCAAGTCAAGTCGTTGTGTCCTAAGCGATCACAAATTTTGCAGGATATTGGCACAATATAAGGAGCATCTTTGAGATGACAGAGTTCTATGAACTTAAAACCTTAATGTAACTCAAATTCCAAAACCAAAACTCCAAGAGAAAGAAATTTAAACCAAAGACAACTGAAAAAATTAAATAGCCATGGAATCATAAATACAATAAATCACACAGTACGATTCATAAAAAAACAATTCCATGCATATCTTATAATAAAATATAATGCAAAATATTTAAAAAGTCGAAGAGCTCAAATTAACAATAATACAACAAGATCCATTTGGTTATGTTTTAATTTTAATGTTTTCAAAAAGCCAAAATGCATTTTATTTAGGATAAACATAAAGGATCTAGTGCACTCTCCATTATGATTTCCCCATGAACAAAAATTAATTCATCTGATTTTTCAAAATGAATATACTGCTTTTATTATTACATTTATATGTAAATTAGTATCTTGTTGACCTATATTCAGCACTGTATTGATGAATGGGCCACTTATTAGGGCCAATATTCAATCATAAAGTGAACAGGGGTAGAGATGCCAAACCAGGTTGTCTTTTTGTGTCTGTCAAAATCTATTTGCATCCTACGCATCCCTACATCTTATTAAAATAAGGAATCTGATGATATCCACATGTTAAGTCAATGTACCACATTCAATATCAAGTCAATACACCCTTGCTGAACTTAATCACTTCAACCTCAGCCCATGTGGGTCCAAACGCTTAAATATTTTCCAAAGTATTATGTGACATTGTATTCTTTATGTTACAACTAAAAATTATTCATTTTGTTCACTGGGAAATGATTATGGAGAGTGCACTAGATCCTTTAGTTTATTCATTCTAGCTTTTATAATACTAATTACCTTTGAAAGAATTAAGAGATTGCAATTTCCTTCTAATCCAATTTTTTTCAAATTCAGATATACAAAAAAATCAAGGGATACCAAGTTAACCTCAGAAATAAAAGGATTTTCTTGATTGTTCCCCTCACATTTGATACAATCAGTACGATGTGATCATAGGGAATAAACCATAAAACTTAATAGAGTGGAAAAACATCATTGAACAAGGTTCAATTGAGCCAAATATGACTTTAAACCCACTCTGGATGACTGAATTATTAAAATTTGTTAAGGTTGCCTTTTTCGGCTCACCCTGTTTTATTTTAACATATTAATCCAAGATCAGATCCCATAACAACGCTAATTCCACAGCCACAACCAGCACATAAACAAAAAATTGTAACTCAAGGTCTCTTACCTGGTTAGGTTGATCAATCATGAACTGCATTAAAACATTTCAGTAATTAATCAACTTACCCTACTATCACACCAAACTAGTTCTCATACGTTCTCGAAAACGGGCTTAAACTGTGCACGAACGGATTTGACGTACTAAGAACCCACTAAGAACCGTTTGGGATCTGTTTACAAACTTCATGAAACTACTAGAACGAGTAGGTACTCCAGCACTTAGAGCATGCTAAAAAAAATTCTGGTGATCGTCAAAACGTTGCCGAATCGGTTTCAAACTGTGTGCGAACTGAATGAACGTAGCTACAACGTTCTACGGTCTGTTTACGAACTTCATGGACTTTCCCGGACGGGGTATGTGATTTAGAATTTTGAATCGATTCAAAATTCGATGGCGACCATACCATTCTGTAATCAGGTCATGATGACCTTCTAGACTAAGGGACGGTTTATACTACGTTGCACACCGACGTGGTGCGACCTGAACGAACTGCGAATGAGATGGACGTATTGAGGACTGTTTATGAACGAAGTAGCTAATTATTTTAGACATATATCCCGACCGCAGCCAGATTGAACCCGTTTTACGACATTTTCGTAGGACTGGCAAGAACGGGTAAGAACTAGTTTGGTGTGATAGGGGGGTTACATACAATAGTGACCTCGCTAGGGTTTTTTCTCAACAGGGTGCAATATCTTTATTTATCTCAAAATATGCCAATACTTCATAACAGAGCACAGGGTGGGATGTAAATATCAACTTTTTAAGAGTGCTGGATCCATATTCTAAAATGTAAGGGAGGTTTCCTTACTTCTCTTTTAAAAAAAGAACTTTGATGATCTATATTCCCCATAATATACATTTCATAACAATATTCAGGATGTTCTAGATTGTCCCAAATATTTTATCTTTTTCATCAGCCAAGTTGGGCAAGTTGTAGTGTTACCAAGTCTAGCATAGACAAACACTAAATTGTGAGATGTAACAGACATAGAATGAACTCAGAATTACCTGCACAAATGTATTCCCTTCAGCTTTGACAATCTGCGTTTGTTTCTTTAGATTAGGTATAGCTTTATTAATCCTGGAACATAGAAAATGTTACATATCAATAATTTCAGATATATTAGTTAGGATGAGAATTGAGTATCCTTTAGGGGAGGCATCAAAAGTTCGATGTCGGATTGGAAACTAAATAAATCTAGTTTTGACTCTGACCCCCCCCCCTCCCCCCCAAAACTAAATACCATGAAAGTTGATCGCTGACTTCCGGTTTGAGAATTTGAAAACTTATTGCTAAACACGATCTAGTTTTTGTTAATTCCTATCATAATTTGCGGCTTTTAACAACTATTGATAGAATAGAATCCTTTGGAATGATCTTGACAAAGAAAGTATCAGGTAAAATCTTTATTTTTAAACCATTCCAAGGCATTCTGAGTCAAAATTGCCAAAAATTTGAAATGTTGAAATTTGTCGGATAGCAAACTGAAATGGGTTTGAACCCCCTCCCCCCTAACTAGATTTATTTAGTTTTCTATCCGACATCGAACTTTTGATGCCTCCCCTTAGTACGTGAATCTGAGCTTGTAGGTAGATTTTCATAAATATTTTTATTTGAAAATATGAGATCATTTACCAATTGACAAAGCAGAATGTTACCAACCAATATGAGACATTCTATTAATATGTACATACAAAAGGGAAAAGGCAAACATAACACAGCAAGAAAATATCTAACAGTATACTCCACCAGCTATAAGAAAACAAACCCCAACTATCCCAAACCATAATCTCTCCTATCATTCAAGTACTACTATCACAATCCAAGACCGCAAAATAACTCTAAAGAACGTGTCATTCATACTGAGGTCATTACAATACATAATCTACAAAAGACTAATAAGCCCATATTAAAGCAGATATATAATTTAAGAGTGACAGAATTTGAACAGAATATAATTTAAAACATTAACTTGCAATGGTTGCAAGGCCTGTCATGAATGTGGTAATGTTAAAGCCTGATATGGCCGTGACAATGGTTGCAAGGCCTGTCATGACTGTGGTAATGTTAAAGCCTGATAATGTTAAACCCTAATGTTAAAGCCTGATGTGACCGTTACAATGGTTACAAGGTCTGTCATGACCATGGTAATGGTTATACAAGAACACAAATGTGTACAAAATGTCCCCACCAATGGGTGACCCCATGAAATGGTTATCCTGAAAATGAGTAGACAAGACTTTACCAACACAATTTGAGGACGGAAAATCCAAAATGGCCACCTTAAAATTTACCCAGAATGCCAAAAATTTAGTCAGTTCTAGATTTTCAAACTAAGAACCACCCCTGAAAATTTTTAATTGATCCGTCACACAGTTAACTAGAAAACATGTAAACAAGACTTTACAGACAAGATTTTAGGATGGAAAATCCAAAATGGCTGCCTTGACATTTACCCAGAATGTCAAAAAACTAATCTGTTCCTAGATTTTCATACTAAGAATCATCCCTGAAAATATGACATTGATCTACCAAATGGTTCACCTGAAAACGCATAGACAAGACTTTACAGACAAGATTTTTGGACAGAAAATCCAAAATGGCTACCATGACATTTACACAGAATGCCAAAAAACTAATCAGATGTAGATTTTCACACTAAGAATCATCCCTGAAAATTTGAAATTGATCTACCAAACGGTTCACCTAAAACGCGTAGACAAGACTTTACAGGCAAGCTTTTAAGACGGAAAATCCAAAATGGCTGCCTTGACATTTATCCAGAATGCCAAAAAACTAATCAGATCTAGATTTTCATACTAAGAATCATCCCTAAAAATTTGAAATTGATCTACAGAACGGTTCACCTGGAAATGCATAGACAAGACTTTACAGACAAGATTTTAGGACAGAAAATCCAAAATGGCTGCCTTGACATTTGCCCAGAATGCCAAAAAACTAAACAGTTCTACATTTTCATACTAAGAATCATCTCTGAAAATTTGAAATTGATCTACCAAACGGTTCACCTGAAAACGCGTAAACAAGACTTTACAGACAAGATTTTAGGACAGAAAATCCAAAATGGCTGCCTTGACATTTACCCAGAATGCCAAAAAACAAATCAGATCTAGATTTTTATACTAAGAATCATCCCTGAAAATTTGAAATTGATCCACCAAACGGTTCACCTGAAAACACGTAGACAAGACTTCACAGACAAGATTTTAGGACGGAAAAATCCAAAATGGCCGACAATAAAAAAGTGATTATGTGTTTTTGCTGATTTCTTCTTACAAAATTATCACATATAACTACTGTTAACAATAACATAGGCTTTTACAACAAAGTACATCTGAAATTATTTATAAAGCTACTAAATAGTTAAAGTATGAAAACTCAAAAACACCATTCAATATGATACAAAGTATTATCGTGCGCTAACTTTTCTTAAGACATTCAAAATGGCTGACATGACTGAGCTAACAGGTCCAAAACCTAATCAGATCTAGAATGAAGTGAGCTGAACAAGATGTTAAAGTTTTAAAAGCAACTGTGAAGCCGTTTTTCTTAAAGTTTGCAGACAAGGATTTTAGCATTTGACTACAAAATGGCCGACAGGAAGTAGGTATCGAGTTAACATTTTTTCATCCACATCTGTATGCCCTCATAAGTTATCCCTGAAAATTTGAAGGTGATATCTGTAGCGGTTTTGGAGAAAACTCCCGGACGTACGGACAGACGGACGGACGTACGGACGGACAGACGGACGCGCCTAGGCCGACAATATGGCCCCACACTATGTGGTGGTGGTGGGGACATAATTAACTGACCTTTAGTAGCATGAGAATACCGTAATGAAAAATTTCATCACTAGACTACTACTACTTCAATGACAAGCCTTACAACCATTGCCACAGTCATATAAGGCTTTAACATAACCACAGTCATGACAGGCCTTGCAAATGCAATATAATATATTATTCCATAATACTATTGTTTTCCCAGGGAAATATAAAGGAATAAAAATCGTATTACATGAAAAAAATCGTATTTTCATATCGGCAATATCATATTACCTATGTTTTCAATAACGCCGTCCTTACATTACATACACGCAAAATATATCCCTTGGACCCGGAAATAAAAAGTGATTGCGTTTTATGGACGCAGTGCAAGCCAAACGCATACAATCAACTTTGGATGAATGATTTGATAAAGATCTTACCTTCAGTCTCTTTACTTCATCAGAATCCACTAAATAATTGAAGGAAATTCTATTTCTAAAAGAAATAAAATTTTCTTTAGAAGTTTCCTTCCTGGAAGTTGATTTCTGATCGAAATAGTACGAGGCATGTGATAGGACAAAAATTTATCTAATACTCGATTTCCGAGCAGTAATCAGTACGAGTCCTACGATTGGCTGGTCAATTGGTCAAGTGCGATCTCATGATCATTATTTGAGAATGCACGTGCCCAAGAAACTGAACCAAAAAATTGAACCTCGGGCAGATTGTCCCTAAACTAAACATGCTAAAGCAAAATCAATAGCAAATTGCTTTGAAATTTGCAAAGAAAATGTGTTTTAATAATGGAGGAAACTTTGAAATTATCCTCGCTTCAAGAAATCAAATATAACAATAGATTCAGACGGAGATGTGTGCTGATGTTTCTCAAATCTATACATAGAGGTATATTTCATATTATTATGCCGTATTTACTGTGCATGTGACATAATGATTTACAATATTCACAATACCAAGGCAGCTCAATCTTTTTACTCAAAGCCGGAATATAGAGAAGGCTTTGGACCGAAGTAACCCCTGGTAATAATTTTGTAGTAAACTTACTGAGTGATTGACTGATTGCTTTGGTTACAGGTTGATGAGGATTTTCTTATCCTTGGAGATTCAGGTTTTTCTTCATCTCTTCCCCCTCCCACTTTATCCTCTGTTTCAATATTCTGAAGAACCATATCCTGTAGTGATTTATGCTCCCCAGATTTCCCATCTCTTCCTTCATTTTCATTTTCAATTTGATTTTCTGAAATCAGTTCTTTCTGAGTATCATTGTGAGATTGATCCTCCATTTACACTCAAATAAATTACACCATTTTGTGAAATTGTATTCATTCGTATGATGTGGATTATATTTGGTAAGTTGTTGTCACGGCTATATACATTATTCAACGAATTCAAGTAAAAGTTTGCTGTACATTTTGTGATTTTTAGGAATATGTTTTCTACGCGACCTTGAACTTTCAGGTAACAACGAGTGTAAAATGCAGATAACAGTTCGGTGTAAACTACGGATAATATTTCGAATACACGATCCGAAAGCTTCAGACGTACGTTTTCCCAGTTTTTTGATCGAATGGCACTGCTGATCTAAAAGCTAACAAGGGAGGGGGCCGATATTTCAAGTCAGATATTTCCCCCATACCAAAAACTGGCCCTAATTTTTGAAAATAAAGCCCATTTTTGATAATTTGGCCATTTTTGATAATAAGCCCCAAAAAAGCCCAAGTGATGCTCAAAAAGGCCCACCAAATGAAGCCATGGCGTAGAATAATGGAAATAACGTCACAAAACATGCGCGAAAATCAGCATTTTATGGTCCACAGATTTCAATGGAAAGCCTTATTCCCCCGCGGGGCCTTAAGGGAAATGGTCCTTGGAAAACTACTGACGATTTCAAATATGATAACTTCAAATTACTTTGAGAATATGAGATGAAAGATCAACCTTTTTTCTAAAATTTAAGTAGTGTTTGACATTTCTCAATCTCCGAACGCTAACACTTTAAGACCCCTTAGACTCGCATGTGCGGTGGTCCTAATTATCGCACAGTCGTCCTAATTATCGCACAGTTGTGTTTCAGATGTCATTTCACGATACTGTATACATTTCTCTGTTTATAACAGATACATAGGCTACATATGCTATAATCATTTTTCTATCAGTTTCAGTGTAAAATATCAACAAAATATACATTATACACTTACTTTTCTGTTTTTATTTGGAGGGGGGGTCAAACTTTGTCAGACGAATTTCACTTCTTGTGCAATAGCATATAAGACAATAGCGGAAGTAAACTATTCTTAAAAAATGAAGAGATATTTCTAAATATATGAATAAATCATGAAGATTGGGAGTAATGGTGTTGAACTGTTTTTCGTAACACTGGTTTAAAAGATGGTGGGTATATATTTTAGCTGTTTAGGACAATCGTGCGATAACTTTTAGGACCGTGCGATAATTAGGACCTACTAGCCCTTATTCATAAACTTTAAAATTTAAATAACTTTTAAGCAAATGACTTCTTTTCTTAGAATTCAACGGATTCTTGTTAAAAATATAGATACGGATATCTTGATATATAAAATAGCTGGATGTAACCGCCATTGCTCATTTTTGGGATAAATTGATGAGATCTCCCATTGTTTGAAAAAACGGCCAATCGCCATCATTTCAAACCATTCGTTTATGATCAAATAATCTCTTATCGCTTAGGATTCATCAGATTCTAATGATGTTCGTATAACACCTGGTATAACATGATAGAAACTCCCGTTTAAATTTTTGCTGAATAATCTATCCGGCGCCAAATTGGCTTAAAATTCGTGATCGAGATTCATCACTCCCGGTGTAAAAGGGTAAGTGGCCCTATCAAATTTTGGTCCTCCTCTCTATTGATTTATATGGTGACCTAATTACAATTATTTTCCTTATTATTTATACACAGTCAGGGCCAGTAAGGGCCATAAGGAAAGGGGACCATAATCCCCAGGGGACCATGATTTCTTTTACACCGGGATTGACGCTATATTGCCGGATAAGCCTTAACCGTTAAAGGGAAAATACCAACAACTGTAAAGAAACCTAGCAAGAAAAGCAAACTCAAAGAGTAAACCTGTCATAAGAAAAATAGACCCTACAGTGTGTATCAAAAAACGCAAAAACATTGCAAAAATCACAAAACCAGTGATAGACGACATGAATTCCAGTTGGTTTACTATGAAGCCATGTATCTCATCTTTCCATTGATGTCATTTATTCATATAGTCTATGACCACGGGCCACTGACTGACTGAGTGATTCCCTTTGAAGAATGGTGCAAAGTTTGCCCTGTACCAATTTTTCACATCGAACCACTACGACAGAGAATTATCAATGCGGTTGCTGCTCTCTGCCATAATTATCAATGAGGTCTCTGCCATAACTGATTCAAAAAGCTTTGCGTGACATGGATGAGAGACATGATAGTGAGACAAGCCAATATTCATGTGCAGAGAAATAATGATAGGCCATTCTACACTCGCTGGACAGAATGTCAGTAGGCCCACAAATGCATTCACCTAGCTTCGGTTCGCGCTTTGTAGGCCTGACATTCTTCGTCCAGTTCGTGCTGAATTTCACCATATTGAATGGCCTATCATAAATATAAATTATAATAATATTAATTATAAATAATTCACAACGGTCATCAGGAGAAAGCTATGGCTGGTTTTGATTCCTATTTCTCAACCATTAATGTCAAAGCCGGGATCCACTTCAAAAGGTGCTTTTTAATAAAATTTGAATTTTAAATTCTTTTAGACATTTGAAATATTCAGAGCCTGACAATATAACACTTCAATATTTTTGCCTAAAATTTAGTTTCCACCTTAATATATTAGTATTATATTTGTGTGATTCATTTTTTCCTTGCCAAGAAAAATGATATTGGCAATTCTGATGGGCTCTTCGGTAGGTACGCTTTTTCATCGCTATAACTGCGCCACTTTCCAGTAGAGGTAAGAGGAAGTCTGATAAACCAGAATGAAGTTTTTGGAAGAAACCCTTATAAGTTCTTGCTTCATTGTTATTATTTCGTTACGAGAGAGGGTACGAGAGAGATGCGCAACGTTTTTCCCTTTTGTTTTCACTTGATTTTATATTACAATGTATTTTCAATTTTAGGCGGGCAGAAGATATTAACCATGGAGTCATTAACAGAACCTAATCATGGATAATTATAAAAATTGTGCCATTTTTGCGCATTTACTTACGGTTTGCCTCCTATCACATACGCATGCCCATTCTGTCATTTCGTCCAGTTCTTCACTCCCAGGTAAACTTTCTATTCAAGGTAAAAACGCGGAACATATACAGGGTGGTCCAAAAAAGTGAACCCCTGCAACAGGCTATATTTTCCTTAATACTTGCATGAATTGCCTCATATTATCACACGTTGTAGAGAAAGGTCTAAAATTTTCGAACACGTAAGTTATTCTTAAAACAGCTATCAGTTATGCCTTGGTCACATTTGCTCCCATTTTCACTACGGCGCCCGGCCGATTGAGTATTTTGTTCAAAATCGAATACAATATTGAGCAAAACACTCAATCGGCCGGGCTCCGATGGATCGGAGCAAATGTGACCCAGGCATTAGAGATACAAGTTTAAAACCTTACCATATGACAAATGGGATACTATTTGAGCAGAAAACACATTTGCCCCCTGTGACCAGGAATCTGAGAAGCCCTTCATCAAATATCTTTAGAAAATCAAAAGAAAATCTAATATTCAATGTTTTGAGCCGTAATTCATTAGAATTGGTCCATGATTAATGAAGATATTGACATTTCAATGATCGTATCGTATGTTGCGATTTCACTTGGAAAAAATTTCATCTATGGAAACTTAGAACATTTCTTTGGATCATAATATCTTTGCACCTATCAGAATTAGGATGCTAGTTTTTACGCCATAATGTGCGTGATTCAAAACCAAAGTCAAAAAATATTAGTTCTTTAAGACTGCAGCTAAAAAAAATTGTAAGTGGAAGGGTGTTGAAGGGTTGAAGAATTGTGGATGTTGAAAATCATTTTATCCATTTTCAACTTAACATTTGGTTAGAACTTATAATTTCTGCAAATTGCAAGAGTTAGAAAAATGTAGAGTACCAACAAGACCTTCCTCTACAACATGTGAAAATATGAAAGGATTCCTGAAGGTAATAGGGGAAATATGGCCCGTTGCAGGGGTTCACTTTTTTGGACCACCCTGTATGAATAATTAAATTGAAGTGTGCATCCCGCTCCACCTCACTTGAAATAATAGGCGACATATCAACAACTATTAAAAACAAGAATTCTGTTAGTGTCAAGACGATCCGAAATGTTTTATTTGCATGAGATGAGATAGGTAATGTTTATGTTTATGACAATGACAAACAGTTTCACCAAATTTAATAAAACGTAAGTGTTCTCTTAACATAAGATGTAATTCCATGGTAACTGCCGTGTAGAAATGTCTCAGTAAAATGATTTAAAAGTGCGCGTAAACATTGATAATGAATGATTGCTATTATATGTTTTTTCAATAGGACGTCAAACAAAACCGAAAAAAAACATTCTCATGCATCAATATGATGTATTGCATTAAAAAATATGCCTACACATGATGAGTATGCAGTCACGTGGACGATTAGATCGACTTATACCAATCCTCCGAATTGGCAACTGCCCCTTTGACTTCAGGGGATAGTGATCGAAGGATAAACACATACGTAGCTGCGTGTGCGTAATGCCTCTCACGTAGAATCCAATTCAGGGAAAACTAGACGGCAAAATATCGGTGTATTCTATCCGGCAGATTTTGTCTTCAAATCTTTTAGAACTAAAATGTTGAACTGCACTGTAACTGGTGGTGATATCGGCGATGTTGTAACGTTTGAATACTCGACGACTGATGAAAACTATGCTGAGAAGATGATAAGCGATACATGCCTTGCTACCCGACAATGGTACATTTTCCTTTCGTCAAGTATGGCGTCTCTCTTTGTTGGACTATTGCTGCTTCTGATATACCAATTCATCGTGAAGATGTTAGATGTGCGTTTGAAGAGAATCCAACGGTTAAAGATGGTAGAGGCGCAATCAAAGGGAGACACATTGATAGGCGCTGGTGAAGATTCTCTAACAGTCGGAATCGGGAGAGTAGGCGGTTTAGCTGAGGCTCAAGAACGAGTGAGAGCTTTGATAGCCGGCCATTCCCTTTTCGGAAAAATGTGGGTAAGAGAAGAACCGGCCTTTTATAGTTTATGTGTTTAACCTATCTGGTACTCATCAAAGCTTTTTTCAACAAGAAATACGCTTTCTAGAAAGGAACTTATTGAAGGCCGTGCTTTGACAGTCCGAGAGTTAAATATGAACGTATTTTATATGAAATAAACACTTTGATAAAATTTATTACTCTTTAATATACAACTACGCGTAGTGAAATGAAAAGAAACATAACCATAGTAGTTCCTTTTGACTTTACATCACGTTTAAAAAAACATTACAACTTAACTTGGGAAAACATCCGTGCTTAACGGGTAAAATAGAAACTCGAAATCATACAATGCCGTCATTAGTTACTTCAGTTTAGGATATGGATTCTAACACAAAACGTTTCTTACTCATAAAGATTTTTATATGGAATATATATTGCAAATTTTTCTTTTCGGCACTAGTGAAGCAGCTAATATTGCAAACATAAAACGTTTTTTCTTATGTTAATTTTTTATATACATTAATTTCATGAAACCTTTTAAGTAAGATATAAAGAAGGTAAAAGTGCAATGAAGGAACTGCTTAACATGGGTTAAGGATACGAGTTAAAAACTAGGATGTGTACGTACATGAATAAAAAGCGGATTAAAAACTACTTATCTATCTCATCTGAAAGGATAAGATGAAGGGCTAACTTGGAGTAATCTTTGGTCATATGAAATACAGTCATTGGAAAAGGATCATCATTTGAAGCCATCAAAATGCGCGGTAACACAACGACACACCTTCCTGATTATTTAACTAAAGTAACTAGAGCTCTGAAGGTCACTGCTCCAAAGAACATTGACACTTCCGAAGGAACGACGATTATCAATAGAGAAATCACACTCAGTGAAAAGTGCCTCGAGACTAGAAAATGGCACTTTTTCTTAGCATCAAGTTTATCAACTCTAATATTAGGGGTTCTAATCTTAACTTTGTATAGATATATTATCCAGCACATTGAATATAGAATAAAAAGAACTCGTCGCATTAGTATTGTTCTGGAAGCAAAGGGCGAATCGGTTGCAACTACGCCATTGGAAATAGGCATAGGAAAGCATGGTATAATCGCAATTGCCCAAGAAAGAACCCGGGAGCTGATTCATGGCCATACTCTTTCTGGAAAAGTCTGGGTAAGAAAACCCTTGACCTTAACGAATTCTCAAATGTAACTAGGCGTACGCCCAGTACAATTAGAAATGTTTTGAGTCCGATATTTTAACATAAAATACGACGTCAGATACATGACATGACCCGTTTGCTTTTTTGTAATGTCATTAAACCCGGTGTTAAATGGTAGCTGGTCCTATTAAATTTTGGTCCTACTCTCTATTGATTTATATGGTGACCTAATTACATTTTTTCCTTATTATTTGTACACAGTCAGGGCCAGTAAGGGCCGTTAAAAAAGGGGACCATAATCCCTGGGGGACCATAATTTCTTTTACACCGGCGCTCAATCACATTTACGGTGGGTGTAGCTTCACAAAATCGATATAGAAAATCTAAATCGTAGTTGCTTATCCCTATTTGTATACTGTGTTATTCTCTCGATTTTGGGAAGCTACGGCTGCAGTACGGTTGCCGTAGATCAAATGTGACCGAGCCATTAGAGTGCAAAATCTTTTTAATATGCTATATTAACAGTGAAGTGGCACATTAGGTTTTACATTTTATTATTGATAGTGTGTCCTTTGTTCAGTCTACGTAACGGTGTTAAAAAAGATAATGAATATTGCACGTCTTTTGATTCCAGTCGGAATATTTTATGATTAAAAACTTTCTATTTGAAAAAATGGCGTGGAATTTTTTATTGAGAAATAGAAATACCAAAAAATCTCTTCGAAAATCTCGAAAATTAGTTTTAAAGTCATGAAAAACAGTGATGAATGATAAATACAAATTTTCAAACTGCATTGTCACTGCTACCCACCTAGTTACACAGACGTATCGTCAGTGTATCATGGATGAACTACTTCCGGGATTTGAATTTGGTAAGATATTTTTATTTCTCGATTTACATCACGATGTGGATTATAATTTGGCTCTAAGTTATGGGAGATAGTCTAGTTTGAGAATATGTCGATGGTTCTAGGTTTGGTATGTTAACGAAGACGCATTTCACATATTTAGTCCCTCGCTTTTGTTACACTGACGATCGGCATTAATATTGGCAATATTACACTGATATTGGTCGTTCGTCAGTGTAACAAAAGCGAGGGACTAAATACGTGAATTGTGTCGTCGTTAACATATTAAACCTAAAACCATCGACACATTCTCAAACAAGACTATCTTCCTTAACTTCGAGCCAAATTATTATCCACAACGTGACTTATAAGTAGGTGTAAATCGGGAAATAAAAAAATCTTACCGAAACCTAGTCCCGGAAGTAGTTACGCCATGATACACTGACGATACGTCTGTGTAACTAGGTGGGTAGCAGTGATTGTGCCTTAAAGCAATTAATGTTATCGCAATGGTCACTGGTCAACTGGTCCCCAAGACAACTTGACCACAAGTCAACTCAACCAACCAATCAAGCAACCAACCAAGCAACCAACAAACAAATTAACCCAAATACCTAACTAACAAACAAACAAACAATCAACCAAACAACCATTGATGTATATTGCTTGTATTGATGAGAGAAATAAAAAAATGAAGCTAGAAGTATACTTCTACACGAGCAGCCTCAAATAAAGGCGTTTCACTTTTTATTTCTTACGCATATGGAAGAAAGAGAATGAAACTGTTGAGAGTGCTTTGGGGCCACACATAGGAAAGGAGATGGTGAAGACCAAGATTAATGGCAAATGGTTGCATCATAATAAGATGGTGTTCCTTTTAGAGACGATAGGATATAGTTATAGAATATATTTCTACGGTCCAATCATTAAGCAGTAGGAGGAAAAAGTTACGGCTGATAAATGATGACGCACGGTTAGCACAGATTGGCCTACGGCGGGCGTAGTATTTCTTTTACAAAAACCTAGGTAGACGCAAGACAGCTGCAGTGGGGAGGCTTACGGTGACCCTATGCCTATGGTTCGCAAAGGTCAATTATAACCCACTAAATCAAAGGGTAGCTACAAGTCGACTGTACGCCCGAGATGCGACCACCGTTGGACGGTGACCGCAGGAATGAATTAAAGTTGTAGCTCCGATTTCTAAATTTTAGACTCTACACTACTGTAAACTGGATACCGTAATATTATATCTCATGAATTTCAATTACAGGGACAACGTACATTCAAGTTGACAACGCACATTTCTAATTTTGTAAATTACAATAAATACTTGAATATTTATTAATCTCCACCGGTCCTAAATGTGTAGTTTAGAGAAACATATTCTCATAAAAATATTTGACACTCTTAGACGACAGGTGAGGAAATGATCAAAGAAAGTGTAAAAAACAACAGTTCTCAACCGACTAAAAGTCTATTCACATCCCTTGATATTGCATGGTAAGAGTAATTGACATTGAAACAGAATGGCCCAAAATATCACTTAATTTAACGCCCCCTTCATCTTTAATCTTCAGACTCTTAAGAATAAAAGACAATTTAAATTCCTATGGAAATTGTCGAGACGTGTATATTGTTTCTTCGAGTTTGTCGATACATGACGAAATCACGAAGGGACCGGCTGATACCACCAAACACGACCTAGTTTTCAACAGTAAATCCAATTTGAAATTCAAGTTGTCAAGTTTCACCTTTTCAATAGACCAATTCTTCCTTTTTAAAGTTGATGGTGACACATCATAATCATCAGCTGATAAGTTAAAAGTTCATCTCATAGATTTGAAAATATAACATATATGATATAATCTTAAATGAATACCTTTCCCGAATCGTTTTGTCATAATTTTAATCGATAATGATTTTTTGTATGTTACTCAACGTGGTTTTTACATTTCAGAACACATTGACGACTTTGATAAGTCTGGCCTCCTTTGTCGTGTACCTTGTGGATGCTACACGGTGGGTGTGTGTTTATACAAAACAACTTTTTTTCAAGTGAATTTAACATTAAAGTGACTCAGCTATTTCTATCTAACACTGACCCTAAAATATCCCAAAACCTTTAAAATCCTAACATCTTCCAATTTTCTACATTAATGTGACCTACAACAAACCCCATTTCTGGAATTAATAAAACTGCAAAATCCTCCCTTAGAAAACGCATCATCAAATTTGACTTTACTTATACAAACACTTTTCTGGAATTAATAAAACTGCAAAATCCTCACTTACAAAACGCATCATTAAATGTGACTTTACTTACAAACGTTTTTCTGGAATTATTAAAACTAGAAAATCCTCACTTAGAAAACGAATCATTAAATGTGACTTTACTTTCAAACATTTTTCAGGAATTATTAAAACTAGAAAATCCTCTCCTAGAAAACGCAGATATTAAATGTGACTTTACTCATACAAACCTTTTTCTGAAATTATTAAAACTAGAAAATCCTCACTTAGAAAACGCATCATTAAATGTGACTTTACTTTCAAACATTTTTCTGGAATTATTAAAACAAGAAAATCCTCACCAAGGAAACGCATATATTAAATGTGACTTTACTTATACAAACCTTTTTCTGAAATTATTAAAACTGGAAAATGCTCGCTTAGAAGCGCATTATTAAATGTGACTTTACTTCCAAACATTTTTCTGGAATTATTAAAACTAGAAAATCCTCACTTAGAAAACGCATCATTTAATGTGACTTTACTTACAAGCGTTTTTCTGGAATTATTAAAACTAGAAAATCCTCACTTAGAAGCGCATTATTAAATGTGACTTTACTAACAAACGTTTTTCTGGAATTATTAAAACTAGAAAATCCTCACCTAGAAAACGCAGATATTAAATGTGACTTTACTCATACAAAACTTTTTCTGAAATTATTAAAACTGGAAAATGCTCGCTTAGAAGCGCATTATTAAATGTGACTTTACTTCCAAACATTTTTCTGGAATTATTAAAACTAGAAAATCCTCACTTAGAAAACATCATTAAATGTGACTTTACTTAGAAAGCGGCAAATTTCACGAAACCTTTTCATTTTTAATTGTGATTAAGTTGATAAGTGCACTTGCTACGTGACTATATCTTTTCAAACTGTGTCTCTGAAGTGTGAGCACAAAATTACAAACACTGCCATTCATTGTTCTAGTTTTTAATGGCAAAACAAATACATTGTCATTTAATATCACTAATAATGGCAAAAAACTAAAGTACATTGGCATTCGCACGTATTGTTTAACATTTGATTTTTGTTTGTTCTTGTTGAAAACAAGAATTACTACATGTACTGTACCTTATATTCTAGCCTGCGAGTCAATATACAAAAAAAGAATACAAGGTCTCTCAGAAATGTGTACAGCTTAACATCCTATTCATATCCCAAAAGTCTGAGTTTAAAATAAAATTCATAAAACAATGTTGACAAAAAGTCCCATTTTGAAAACAGAATAGAATTACAATCTTACTTCTAATTAAACTACCATAAAATTCGAAGTGATTTAAGCACGTACGCAAAAATGATAGAAATTAATACGTGAGAATTATCTATTAAAACATCCATTATTTTTTGACTGTCCCTCGTACAAAATGCTGACATTCTATTTCTGTTTTCGAATGAACAACAATCACAAGTCATCAACCAACTGTAATTGAGAATCAGAAGAAATTCCATATAAGCATTTTATTTGTATTTATTGAACAACTCTCGTACACTCCCCTCCATAAGTTTGACAACCTTAGCTTCCCCATTGAACTACGTGTTAAAGCCTCTTTACGTTTGAATTTTTATTTACTTAACCTGCGATGAAATAACTTATAATATTGATGAAAACGTAACTTGACTTTATTTCCAATACCTCCAAATTTTCCAATTTTTTCCTCAATTACAATAGGTCGGAAATTGATGATAAATTTGATGAATTTTTGAAAATCGTCATTCCCATGTAAACCAATGGGAAATGGTGGGTCCGGGGCAAATCAGAAATCAGGATATCTATTCAGTAAAAGATTCAGCTAAAAATATTTTTATATAGAAAATTGAATTGTCTTACTTTTTTGTACACTAAGTGTATAGTTTACTTGATGAATACTACAGAGCTTCAGAGTCATTTTTGACCTCCTGTGTTATTTCAATGGGAGAGTTTTTTTGAAAAATAATTTTGACTTTAAAGACCTATAACTTTGTTGAACCTGAAGAAACGTATCAATTTTTTGTTAAATAAAGTTAGCAAATTCAATTGCCTACTGTTCAATTTTCAAAAATTCATCAAATTTATCATTCATTTTCGACCTATTTTCCTATTTAGAAAATTTGGAGGTATTGGAAATAAAGTCAAATTACGTGTCCATTAATAGTACAAGTATTTTCATCGCAGGTTAAGTAAATAAAAATTCAAAGGTAAAGAGTACTTCAATGGGGGAGCTAAGGTTGCCAAACTTTTGGAGGGGAGTGTATTTGTAAATACGATATTTTTACAATAACGCCTTCATTTAATCATTTTGCTATGAATATGGTTACCATATTGATCATTTGAGAGAATTTAAACATTTTCCTCAGTTTTGCACTTTGAAACAACTTCAAAAAAATGAAAACTAATCGTGGATCTTTTGGGAGAAATTATGTTTGAGAGATTGTAAGGGACTGGTAGTTCCACGGTACATGTTACATGGTTGCTTGTAATTTTGTCACTCCCCATATATCTGATTCTGTATTTATTATAAATTTGACATCTTCTCATTTTAATCCAAGTCTCCTCGTTCTTCTCTTCAGATGGGATTCACACCTTTACGTAGAAACCTGTACACCATTCCGTGAGAATCCAACTCAAATCATAGACTTTATTTTCAATGTTGTCCTTCTGTTGAACTTCATATTGAAGGTAAGTTCAAGACCAAACTCCAAGCAAGTAATTTCAACATAAACAAGTTGCAACATTTTTCAATACATTCGTTTTAATATCTAGCTGGGTAAAACGAGTTTAAAACTGCTTAACCTGGCTATATACCTCATATGAACCGAAAAATAGAAATTAAAATTGTTTACTATTTACGTTTACTACATTCAGTTTATGGCAGCCAATAACAAGCCTGCATTTTGGGTTAACCTATACTCGTTGGTTGATTTCTTCACAATACCACCAGCGTTTGTTGGTCTCGTACTCGACAGAAACTGGCTAGGTTAGTAACATTGTCATTGTTTAAAAATCGAGGCCTTTGTTACATCTACGGGGCTCTATAGGACTGTTAGTAACAGTGCTTGGTTAGTAACAAGAGTATTCCAAGAACGACTAGATCCCCGAGTCCACAAATATCATGGCACATTCTATAAGGCCCCCTTACGAACATATGAACGAATCCACTAAACGCAGTCTTGCGAATTGAACAAATTGTCAATTCTGGCGATTGGGAACGTAAATATGCGAACCGAAGCGCATCTTTTACGTTCATATGTGAGGGAGGCTTCAAGCCCTAACGCATACATTAAAGGTGCAACAATTAGTGCAAGGGGCAATTCACCAATCATCGACCAGTGTAGAGGCTGACGGTAATTCCGGTTATACGGTTTCGGTACGGAATTGAGCATTTACCGGTATTGAAATTATTAACCGGTTAACCGACGATAATTCCCGGGGAAATAAAAGACACGTCGTTTTTTTAATTATTTCGTTTAATTTCCACTTTCACGATGCGTACATTTACATAGACATTTAGATGTCCACGTTTGGCAGTTCAGGTGTGATTTCCATGTTTGGCAGTTCAAGTGTGATGTCCATGTTAGGCAGTTCGGGTGTAGTAGCTTCATGCTCAGGCTCAGATTTGGTTGCAGTTATGTTTGGCAGTTCCGGTGTAGTTGTAGTGTCAACGTCAGATCCATAAACTGAATTATGTTTGTAATACTCATTTACGAACAACAAGGCATTGACAATAAGTTGAATTAATATAACCTACATTTCGTAATTTATTTTTAACTTTAATATTTTGATAGATATTGAGCTTTTAATTGTGAACAAAATAAAGTACAAGCTCTCTGCTAAAGTGTTTTAGCAAACAAATAAATAAAAGAATCTCCCGTGCCTTTCGTAAGTTTTTATTTTTAAATCTAAATATAAACGAAATATATATTAACATACGTTGGCCATTTGAGCCCTTATCATCTTTTTATAAGTCGGATGTAGGAGGGTTGCTATAACGTGGGGGCGGAATAACTCATTATTGATACAGTTGAAAAATGGTTTGAAATGTGTAATACATTTAATTTAAAACTAAAAATACATCTTGATTCGTAAGATAGTTACATACTATTTCGTGAAGTTCATCAGTATGGGTTCAAATCGGTCTTGCACCATGTATGCATATAGACTTGAGAAGCTATGGAGAGAGTTAGGAACAAAGTGGGGGGTGGCAGCGCATTGGCATTTCATCTGACATATTTTTACCGGTATTTCGGTAACGGTACGGTTATTAGCGTGACGGTTACCGGTACTGGTTTTCAGTACCGTTGCGACCTCTAGACCAGTGTCAAAATATATTTAAGTTTGGATATTTCATCAAGATTAGCTTATATTTTTATTATCTACCAAGAAACCCCCTGGATGAACATTATTTCATCTGATATTCCTCTTGAAACATGGCATGGTGAATCTTAAAAATCTACAAGTGGGACTCCCTTTATAGAAGCTTTGAACTGAATTTAAGCCTATACTTCTTATTGCTGAAATTGAGCGTTTATCCATATAAGAAAATAGGTATGTCAATGAAAATGTTTAGCCAAATATTGACCTGATAGCTCAGAAAAAATCAAAAAAAAAATCGAATTTTCTCTCTACAGTCCTTGTTGCCCTTTTAATGTAAACTAGAATCATCAACAAAAGAGCAACATTTGAGACGCAAAACTAATCGAATCATCATAAACTAGTATACGAACTATTTATTAGAATCATAATTTAGAAATTCCACGAAGAGCCAAATCAGAAAATAAAACTCCAAAGTTTTAGCAAAATATCAATACATCATGTCAAAAACGTTCTAACAAACGTTACGTGTCCTACAACTCTGATATCATAAATGTATACATAGGGTTACGCTACTTGAGGATTCTGCTTCTACTGGAGGTACCCGAGGTGCTACAACAGTGGAGGATACTCAGGTCTGGTCCTATCATTAGCAGGTTCAAGTTTATGCTCCTCTTCCTCAGTGTTGTGCTTGCCGGATCAGGATTTGTCCATCTGGTATGTTACGTTCATGTAATACAGTACATGCCCAATAGAAAACGGTTCTGAAATCATGTAAATACGCCTCGAGTATGAAAAGGTTCATTCCATACGCTCATAACTTTTTCCGACTAACTAAAACTTATTAATATTTAATTTCAAGTCTATAGTTACTATTCTTAGTCCAAATATTTCAATTCGTAATTTAAATACGGAATAATCTAAATAAATTACTTTTCTTGTAGGTGGAGAACACAGGTGATCCCCCGGATTTCCAAAATGTTACACCAATCACATATTGGCACAGCTTCTATATGCTCATTGTTACCATGTCAACCGTTGGCTATGGAGACCTCTACTGTAAAACAATCATTGGCAAAGTGTTTATCTTATTGTACATCATGGGAGCTGTGGTAAGTTCATGTTTTACTTAGGGGAAGAAAGGCATAGTGGAATTGTTTTTAGTACCTCCGTCTTGTTATTTCATCTCATATAAAACACTTACATTTTTATTATATTAGAGAAAATAGAAGTTATTGCAGGTATTCCCCCAAGAATATAAGCATATAGTAACACATTTCAATTTTTCTGAAAATCAAGTATATTCTTGTGTGTGTGACTTTTCATGAGAATTCTTCAGAATTCTTCAACCAGAGATTGTGAATATTACACCTCATGACTACTGTTAGGATTAGAATCTCGTGTTCCAAATATCGCTAAATGAGATAACGTAATTATGAAATGTTCTTTTAAAATGGATTTTAGTCTCTAGTGGCGAGGACCCTTCCAGAGATGAGAGAAATGTTGCGTCATAACAATAAATATGGAGAATCATATAAAAAGAGATATGATAAGTAAGTTTGTTACAACTAATCTTCTTAAGTTTTACAAATGAAAAACCTGAACGTTGGAAGTTTTCACGATAATCCGTAAAATGCATCCTATATTCCTGATTTTTCTCTTCATGTCAATACACTAGCAAGAGATGATTACTGTAATAGCACATGGAAACAATAATTTCACGAGTGTTGCGGTTCAAAACTTAAGAATTTTTATTGTTCTATTTAATTAGTTATATTTAATATTTTAATACAAAATTGTGTACACTTTCGTATCCAAATAATTCGACTTTAAAGCAGGAGCAGGTTTCATCTTGTCGATATTCATTTGTACAATTGTCCCAACTTTACATGAACACTTATTTTCAGGCATATTGTTGTTTGCGGTCATATTACGCATTATACAGTTGACCACTTTCTCAGAGAATTCCTGCACAAAGACAGAGAGCGAACCACTAATAATATTGTCTTCCTGGCGGAGTGAGTCGATTTTCAGCTTAAAGGGATAATAACCTCAAATAAAAACTATGATTCATCAGAATAATAAGTCTATAATCAAAAACATGACCCGGGTATGAGCGACGATCTTCTAATGCATCGGCAGATATATTGGAATTAATTTTGAGGTATTGGATCTTCACCTGGATTATGGAGGTCGCCATAACCTACCTATGAATATTCATGAGCGGCGTCACTGCGACTCGACAAATTCCAGCATTTTGATTGGCCCGAAAATGCGCATGCGCAATTGTAGCGGGGCGGCCACATTGAAAAATATTACGAACTTCTTAACAAGAAAATGGAGCAATTTGAAGATTTTGACGATGTATTTGGCATATTGACAAACTATAATATGATATCACCTGTTCGAGAAAACATGACCATGTTCACATCAATACTTACAATTCATAGAATTAACTCCCAAAGTGCCAATCAAAACCAAAAACTGACCAACTCGTGAACGCTGGTTACCGACATGACAGGAAAATGCGTTAATTTTATGTTGACAATCAATTATCTCTCGATCGTTTTGCTTGAAGATTAAACATATTCGGATCTTTTATTCAATAAAATGACGAATGGCAGATATTAATTGGATTTTGGACACTCTGTTATAAATATTAGGCGGAACTGATAATGTATTCCCCGTCATGAAAGATCGCGATCGATGACGCAAGGTTCTGTCGTGGGTAAACCCGGAAGTAAAATTGTGTTCAATCTACGATTTCGTTTGATGAGAAAATCAGCTAAAACAACTTGCCCCGCGTGTCTAGAACCACCATCACTGTAGCGTCTATATAATCAATACTTACTTGGAATATCCTGACATCGAACTAAATAAACCACTCTAAATTCATTTGTTATTCATTTTTATTCACCGATCTATTTTGAAGAGCTTTTGAAGAGCGATTTCAGCATTTGAGGCAATCTGCGCCAGTTCCATTTGGTTCGGAATCTAGTTCATGCGCATTAGAATGAACGATTTGATTGGCTTAATTCCAAAAACACATGCGCACTTGTAAATTATATCAAACTACTAGGCATGCGCGAAGAGTTGAAGCAAAAACGAAACTTCTGCAGATGCCCTACTTATTCGATGGCGGAATTGGAAAATCCTTTATTCAAAATGTTTTCCCGTATTGGGGAGAAAAAACACAATCCCAGGATAGATATAGGACGACAAACAAGACATATAATAAGTAGGAATCTTTGATTGTTAAAAGCCGTGCATGAAACTTTTCAGAAACTAAAGTAAGTGACACTGTTTTAAATGTGTTCTATTCCCCGGGGATTCGGTCCACGACAACGACAGCTGGTTTTAACTGTCGACAGATTTTAATTCTACCGTCACCAGCCGACTGTCGTACTGTCGTTCAGGCATTTTTTTAAAGTCCTTATCCCAAGTCTAGCTCTATCAGTGGAAATATTTGAACAATTTACCGCACAACACATAGGCATTTTTCTTTGTTGTGAATGCTTTCAAGATGGCGGCTCAGTCGCAGAAACGTCACACTTCCGGTCTACATCCGGGTCTCTGAGGGAAATATGGCGAGCCCCGTCCAACTGACAACTGGGTCACTGGGTCAATTTATGATTTTTATTTTCAATATTATACAAAAACTAACACACAACAAGATTTTCAACTTATTGCATTTTATTCAGTAGTATTGTAACTACATATAATGATGATTAGAATACCTGACATTATTTCCGCTTTAAGTTTAGTTGAGAATGAAATTCATGTTAAGTTCTCATAAATACTTAATTAATAGAATTTAACTAAGTACATGTATATTCCATAATTGTGTATAATTACTGCTACAGGGCCTGTATTCAGGGCTTGTTATAAACTATATAAACTAAACTATAAAGTAATCACACAAGTTCAAAAATTCATGACTGATGATTTTTAAAACGCCAAACATAAACAAGCTTTGATATATTAAAGGGGGATTTCGGTTTCAAACTTATGAAGGGGAGTGTAATGATACATTGTAAAGTCATCTATTCAGATGAAATAGTTTATCAGATTTATTTTTGTATTTTAGAGAGTATCCGGACGTGGAAATGAAGGCTTTGTTGAAAAGTCAATACGCACATACAAAGTATTTTCAAGGAAGTCCAACAAATCCCATTGACCTTGAAAGAGTCAAGGTGATAAGTCAAGGTCATTTGGTGGAGGTTTCTTCTAATAAAAGTAAACATGCTTTATAACAATAGGGGAATTTTAATGCTTTGCTGAGTACTATTCGAAATAGATCCCCGGGGAATAAACTGATCCTGTAAAACTCATATTTTCTATAATTTAGAACTACCCTGGTATTATACTACATACTATGTCTAGATATTCTGTATTGGCACTCGACTTTGTCTCGTTCTAATACAGACTATATCCTGTATTCAAATCATCAAATCTTCAAATCAATTAATAACGTTTTTATCGTGTGCATGTTTTTATTTTATTTTCAATGCCTATAGTTTAGCTTAGTACATATCTGAAAAGCAATGCATGAATCATTTTCTATGCAATGATTTATAGCTTCCCATTCATTGTTTTTACCTGTTTTTTATCTATCTAAAATACTTAGATTATAAGGAATATATTGGTATGTTAACTGTACATATTGCTTGCAATTTTGTCACTCCCAACAGTTTTGATTCTCCTTTTAATATAATTTTCAGTATTAAACATTTTTGAAAATGGATTTCAGGAATTCTTTCTGAGCGTTCTTCCAAGAGGTATTGCCATTGTGTATGTTTTTGGGTTAGCGTTCTCCTTTGATAACATTAAGGATGTCTTGTTCCAGATCCACGATGCAGAAGTATGCATTGTTCTGACAGACTTGAACAATCCTGAACCTATTCCAGTAGATGCTGAAACGATGATGTGTGTCACCACACTCAAGGACTACTACGGCCACATTCGGACCATTGTTGTCTTGAGACAATACGACAATAAGGTAGATAAAGTAAAATGAGCATTCTGGATATTGCGCTTGACTTATTCAATTGTACATTGATATCATGTCTACACTTTTCAGGCAGTTGTACCATAATATTATATGAGAAGTATAGTATGGTGATTTCATTCCACGGGCTTAGAACTTAGGGCTTAGTGCTTTGTTGGTCTAAGGATGACCATAGCTTCTAAGAAATAAAAATAGACCTTGATGTGCTATTGTTGTATGGGGTTTTCTTCTTAGATTCAGCCCCACCCTGAATGAAATTATATTTGCCTCGGGGATCGTGGTGCAATCGGTTACTCACAACAGACCATTATGTTCCCCAATATTCTAACTTGTATTCCATGATTCCCAAATAATTGTAACGGACTTGTTAATTATAATTAAAAAAATATTTTTATTCCAAGCTTTACAGTTCTCTAATTAATCCAATAAGTACATTTATCTCAATGGATCAAATGCTTTACCAAGTGTGTGTCTCTTCATAAATATTTCCTAATTGAACATCAATCATTTCAAATCTTAAATTCTTAACTTTCAATTCTAGATTCTCAACTTCTTAAACTTCTCAAACTTCTCAAACTCGCTTTGCCTGTGATAATTATATAAAACAATCTTGATGTGAGGTTGGTAAGGTATGTTTTTAGATTTTACAAAAATATATGTTTCATGTCAAAATGCAGATCTTTGTTGAATGATTTAATTCCTATAATATATTCGCGCTTGTTAAATAAAAGAACTTCTCATACAAATGATGAATAATAAATATTAATTGAAAATAATTCGTTAATCGTTCTATCTCTCTCAAATTGCCTTATTCCGAGAGCCGCGCAAATTACCCGTATCAAATTTGTTTCCCCTTTCTCCCTCTTTCCATGTTTCCAATCCATTCACAGATCCCCTCAAGATTCCCCATTTCAAGTCCGTTCCCTGTTCCGAGTTTGTTTCGAGTTCCCCGTTGGTTCCGTGCTTTCGATCCGATCCCAGTTCTCCGTTCTCCCTGAATCAAGTCTAAACTGCCATTTATATACGTGTTAGAGATGCTATTCTTAGCTAGAGGCCGCGTGACGTAATTTACGTATGAAAGTAGAATGAATCATAATCGGATGGTATTGACCGGAAATTATGCCCTATAAGGAAGGAGAGTAATAGTTCTTCTATATGTGAGATCGGCGGTAATTTTTGAATCAAAGAAAGTGTACAGTGTTTGAATTTTGAGTTACAACATAACTTCCCGTCCCAATTATTTTTGCCCTCAAAAATTGTGTACTGTCTTGTAATAATGCGTCTAAATAAATCTGTAAGTTGGAGAGATCCCTGACAAGCAATATATCTGCTGACATCTGTAATATCGGTTGATTATAATAATGTAATTGCCTGCCAAGGTTCTTTACAAAATTTGGTTACTAATTAAACGAATTAAATAATTAAAAATCACCACTTAAAAATATCACTTTTCTCCAATTCAAAAACAAAAATGTGCTATATAATGTTTGGGGATTCAGTATGTCTAAAAAGTGTATTCCATACTAGTGTAACTTAAATGAAACTCATTATCCAATTATCTCTAAGATTTGCCTGATGACACATAAAGTATCATTTGATTATAGCGACAAACTCCGAAAGAACACTGGAAAATAGTATATGGCAAGTCTGCTGCCACCTATAGTGCCAGTTGATTATAGCGACGAGCCCATACACTAAGCATGAGAAAAATATAAAATAGTGAATAATACATCTGCTGATCTATATATACACTGATATACAAGATCAGTTGAATATGACGATGTAAAAGTCACCTGACTGTTGAAAAAAATAAATCATTTCTTGGAGGGATTGGAGAATGGACAGTGATGAAACTATATTTACGTATGAACATAAAAAATGAACTTTTAAAACATACGAAAAAATAGTTATGTTGTTTTCTCAAACTTTACGATTTTATATATGACATCAATAACATTGAAATGAAGTGAATTCTGAACGCGAGAATAATTCGGAAAAATAAAACATTTCGATTAAAAAAAATATATGTGTTAACCTTCAATCAGGATCTGCATCTGTGTTTGCACCAATAACGTGAAATATATTTATCATATTATTTATTCTATGTCCATCATTAGCTGTAAGTTTGCCGATTCTGTGACAAATTGTTACTCCCCACATAAATAGTTCTGGTATTGTCCTTTTCAAAGAATATTCTCGAGGGATTGTGGTGGGTAGGTGCTTGGAGTTGGATCATTGTAGTTGATGTTTTGAGGGCAGGGTCCTGATCATTGTTGTTGTGGTAGATATGCGGAGCAGGTTCCAGGTGCTTTATTGTAGTTCATATGTGTGGAATAGGTGCCTTTGGAGTCTGATCAAATCCTCTAAGGAGATTGTCCACTGAAGATCACTTAGGATGGCCTTGAGGTTTTCGTCAACGCTTAGTCCAGTGTGTCATCCATCTGAAATCAAAACATATATGCCAATTCAATGTCCAGATAATCATCATAATTCCAATTAAACATAATAATTGGAAAGGCTGTAAAAATCACTGAATCTGTATATATGAGGAATCGAGATGAAGTGGTTCGCCTTATGCTGAAAATAAAGAAAAAAGGAATTTATGATGTCATTTACATGTCGCCAATCACTGAACAGGATAGCAACAGACTATATGTGGTAGAACAATCTCCCGATCCCCGTGAAGTGTAATCTTAAATGTCGCCCAATCTACAAATAGAAATGAATGCATGCAATTATGTTCCACTTATACTAAGCCTCGCCCTGGCTGTGCACTATATCAATTAAAAATCCGAAGGAATATTTATGAGATGTAATTAACACATCGGACAGAATATGTGGATAAGTGCATTTTCCTCGAACTGCATCGTAGTTGTTTTGAGCGTGGGAACTGGCAATGTTCGAACTGCCCGTGTGAACAATAATGTAAAGCCTTTCCTGTGGTAAATACCCTAAAATAGAAAGCACGATAATCCACAATATCAGCAAAGCAACTAAAATGGAATAGTATTAACTTTTGCGGGTAGTGTAAAATCAGAGCAATGATATAAATAGCAAACAAAGAAATGGTTACTATATCTAGTACAGTGTGAATTGTATCCCTGAAGTCTACTAAGAATTACGTAAGGTCAGAGTGAGAAAAATAAAATCGGTTAGTTGTTTTGAATCCCTGGATCAACCCGTCTAAATTTAATGTGACATTGTTAGAGGTTTTGAAAGCGGTTATATAATTTTCCTCCTGAAAAGTTACATTTGGTTTGCTAAAAATAATTGACTCAAATGACGTATTTCTGATGATACCCTATCGGAAACGATTGTAAATGTAGGTCAGGTCAGATGACAGTTCAATTACTCATCGATGTTACAGGTGTTGAAGAATCATTTAGATCTGTAGTAGCAATGAGCGATCATCTTCATATAATTTACTTGCTAATTTGATGGATAGTATCACACATGTATTAATTAAAGGTGAGGGTCTGTATAGATTAGTTTGTGTGATGTAGCAATTATGTCAAGGAATTGACCATATTTGTGCATTACTTTCTATGTTTAATGTATCATTGATACCGGAATTGACACGCGCTGATCATTAGAACTTTGAGCAAAAGACGTGTTTATTGCGGGTTGATTGTCATGATAACAGTGGATGAACAGTGAATGAAACATTATTCAATCGTCTTAAACTCTTGACGATATGTAAATTCCATCTTGTACTCAATATCATAATTAACTCTTAATATAAGCATAAAATGTATCGATAGATCCAAATCTGGTCTTAAATTGTAAAAGCGACTTTACTTAATTTGCACAATTTTCATAAAAATATTGACTTATGATTCACGTATCCATTGTCCATTTCCGAATTTCTTTGAACTTTTCCTCAGTACTGCGTGAAAGAGTACGAGCTCAAAAGAACAGGAAACTGTCTTATCTTGCTCTAATTTAAATCATATTTCTCTTAAATTATTTGCTTCACATAACATTCTCCATATAATTCTCGTTTTAACATATAAACTTGGCCTTTTCTTAATTCCTTTAAAAAATTTCTACCACTCGACCAAAGTACTGGATTTTAGCAATTGGCAATATTCATCCATAATTCCCATCCTACTGATGGTCAATTTGAACATTTCTTGAAACTATTCCTCAATACTTTGGAAAGAGTACTAGAATTCAAGCAACTGAAAAAATCTTTGGTTCAGCCTACAGGTGGCAATATTTTCTATGTAAATACATTTCCCATTTTTTCTACCACTCGATTAATGTACTCAATTCAATCATATTCATCTTAGTACTATGGTAATTTGAACGTATCCAGGAACTATTCGTCAGTACTGCGTGAAAGACTACTAGCTCAAGGAGATGAAAGAACTTTTTCGTTTAACCTACAGGTGGTAATATTTTCCGATACATTTCATGACAACTCGATTAAAGTACTCAACTCAATCATATTCATCTTAGTACTATGGTAATTTGAACGTATCTCCGGGCATTTGGTCAGTACTGAGTGAAAGACTACGTGCCCGAAGAGATGAAAGAGTTTTTGGTTGTCATATCCCCTAATTCCCATGGCTTATCATCTCTGCCTATCGATAACTTTCTTAACTTTCATTACATATTCATTGTATTTCTATAGCGCTTTCGTATATCTTATACCCTGCGTGCAGAGTCTAGTTAAACTACGAAGCTCTCTTTTAAGAAGTGAAGTCAAACGAATGCAAAGGGTATATATCTTATCTCAGTTCCTCATTAATTATTCTGCTTCCTGGCCCTAACTCATAATACTTAATTCAACAAGTTTCTATATACCCTATATATCTTAGTCATCTTAAACTCTCATCTAATATACGTATATTATTAACTTCGGGATCCCCTTTAATGCTCTATCAAACTACACACCTTATTCTCTGCTTAGTCTCTTCTTGTTTCTCTCGGCTTTTCTTCATTTAACAAACAAAAACCTTGGAAATGGATACATGAATCAAAGTACCGAACTTACAGTATGTGCTTTAAACTTCTCGGAAAAAAATATTTGTGCCTAAGCACTATGTGTATCAATCCTGTGCTTGATGTGCGCATCATCAGAACACGAGCGGCCAATAAAGGCAACTTTAATTGACACCTAGCCCAGGTTAAAGGAAAAAATATCTGAATATTTCTAAGGAATATTAGGAATTTTGCCGTCTACAATTTATTTTCATTTTGATACGATTGGTTGAAAAAGTAGTTTGCTTTAAATAAATCATAATGTGCACACTTCCATAAATAATTCTGAAATGACCTTATTATTTGTATCTTTTTATTGTTGTTTTGTTTATTTGATTTTGTAATAGTTCCGTTGATAAAAGTCATTTACTCTCAAAAATTAACTAACAAAGTTTTTGTTGATTATGCTGTATTGTTACGAATATTCTAAGTCCAAATAGTTGTTTCGACAATCGATATTTTTGAGTTCAATAATTCTAGCAAAGTTATAAGTCCAACGTTCGATTAAAATATGATAATTCTCTAAGTCCACGAATTTTAGCGAGTTATGGAAAGTTTTACAAGTCCAAAAGTCAAATTTAAGATAAAATCTCTAAGTCCATGAATTTTAGCTTGTTATGAAAAGTTTTACAAGTCCAAAAGTCAAATTTAATAACTTAAGATAAAATCTCTAAGTCCATGAATTTTAGCTGGTTATGAAAAGTTTTATTTGTGTACAATACATTTAACATAAACAATAACATATAACATATAGATACTTGGGTCATAACAATTCTTCCTCTACTTGCATTTTACTTTTCCGTTGGCCATATTTGACCAAATTCCGGTTCATGAATGAGACAGTCAATTGTGTTATGTAGCGCGTGTAATTGCGATTGATAATTAGTGGACATTTCACCTACTTTGGAGGTAAGTTCCTTCATCAGATCAAGTATTTGCGTGTCAGCATTTGAATTAACTAATGATACTTGGGGCGCAGAATTAGTGTTTTCATCATTTGCTGCTATTTGGTTTATGCTTTCACCCAATTTTGCCTTTTGTTCAGCTGTATCTATATCACCAGGATCCTGACTTATTACAAAATTACGTATTGCGGGTCGTAAATTGGTAACAAAGATATCTAACCTTTCCTCTGGAGTTTTATTTAAATGTGAACATTTTAAATGAATGTCTGCTGCATAATCAGCTACTGATTCGTATTACCCTTGTTTGCGATTTAATAAAGTTTGTTGTAGGACCCATCGTGGTCTATTTTCAATAAATCGGGCCTTGAATAAATTTTCTAATTCTGACCATGTGCTAGGTTGTGGAGTTAATTCTGTAAACCAAATTTCTGCAGAATCCTTTAAAAAATGGGGGAATGTTAGGGCCTTTTTATCAGAATCCCATACATTAAGTTTAGCATACGCATTGAATTTGTTTAACCAATGTTTTGGATTTGTGTCAGATTCCCTACCAGAAAAATGATTAGGTTTTATACTTACATAACCCATGCTTTTCGTCGCCGCTGGAGCAGAGGCTCGTGCATTCTCCGGAATGGGAAAACGTGCCATGGCTTCGTCGTGGTTTTTCCGTATCTCCATCTGCGCCTGTCTCTGGGTTTCCATCATTTCCTCCAGAGCACGAATCTTCTGTCCCATCTGGGAATTCCTGTCTACGTTTTCAGTGAGTTCTGTTATTTTTTCACTCAGTGACTCCCCGATCTGTCTGTTACCTTCTAACCGTCTCAACCGGTCTTCAATTGCTTGGATCCGCGTGTTGGTTGATGTCATATTGTTTTCCCCCGATTAACACCAAAACAAAGCAGCTCCACCAATTGTTGTATGGGGTTTTCTTCTTAGATTCAGCCCCACCCTGAATGAAATTATATTTGCCCCGGGGATCGTGGTGCAATCGGTTACTCACAACAGACCATTATGTTCCCCAATATTCTAACTTGTATTCCATGATTCCCAAATAATTGTAACGGACTTGTTAATTATAATTAAAAAAAATATTTTTATTCCAAGCTTTACAGTTCTCTAATTAATCCAATAAGTACATTTATCTCAATGGATCAAATGCTTTACCAAGTGTGTGTCTCTTCATAAATATTTCCTAATTGAACATCAATCATTTCAAATCTTAAATTCTTAACTTTCAATTCTAGATTCTCAACTTCTTAAACTTCTCAAACTTCTCAAACTCGCTTGGCCTGTGATAATTATATAAAACAATCTTGATGTGAGGTTGGTAAGGTATGTTTTTAGATTTTACAAAAATATATGTTTCATGTCAAAATGCAGATCCTTGTTGAATGATTTAATTCCTATAATATATTCGCGCTTGTTAAATAAAAGAACTTCTCATACAAATGATGAATAATAAATATTAATTGAAAATAATTCGTTAATCGTTCTATCTCTCTCAAATTGCCTTATTCCGAGAGCCGCGCAAATTACCCGTATCAAATTTGTTTCCCCTTTCTCCCTCTTTCCATGTTTCCAATCCATTCACAGATCCCCTCAAGATTCCCCATTTCAAGTCCGTTCCCTGTTCCGAGTTTGTTTCGAGTTCCCCGTTGGTTCCGTGCTTTCGATCCGATCCCAGTTCTCCGTTCTACCTGAATCAAGTCTAAACTGCCATTTATATACGTGTTAGAGATGCTATTCTTAGCTAGAGGCCGCGTGACGTAATTTACGTATGAAAGTAGAATGAATCATAATCGGATGGTATTGACCGGAAATTATGCCCTATAAGGAAGGAGAGTAATAGTTCTTCTATATGTGAGATCGGCGGTAATTTTTGAATCAAAGAAAGTGTACACTGTTTGAATTTTGAGTTACAACACTACACACGGATATAAAAAATAGCATCTTCCAACAATACGAATCCATGGGAAAAAGTATCAAAAACCTTCATGTGATTGTAGAAATATATCCAGTCTATTCCAAACTGGAACCCCCAGAGAGACCAAGTGATCTGCCTAGGTGAGATACAGATGACTCTGTTAGCTAACAGCTGTGAAGCCCCTGGCTTTTCTACCCTGATGACAAACTTGTTTATGGCAGTGGGAATTGAGCAGGTACAATAATATGAAATTATGAATATCCACTAATCAGAATTAACATTCAACAACTACAAGTTACAAAAAGTAAAGAAAGCAGAGTATGTTGCTGTTTTGTTAATTAATACGAGTACCCAAAGATGTAATGTTAATTTGTAAGATATTCTCATAGGCTTTCAAGGGGGAGGGTAGAAACGCGTCCAGTATTTTCGTCGTTTCGCAATTTTCTTGTGTATGGAATAAGATTACAGCTTCCAGTCGGCAACTTTTAGCTTTGTAATGATCGAAAAGAGAAAAATGACGAAATTGAAAGAAATACCGGACGAAATGAAAATGTACTGGACGCAAGCTATCCGGTATTAACAAGCTTGCGTCCAGTACATTTTTCATTTCGTCCTTTCGTCCTTTTTCTTTTATCGATCACTTTAAAGCTAATATTTGCAGATTCGAGGCTGTATTGTTAGTTCATACACAAGAAAATTGCATCTCTTGTCAATGAAATGGTAAATAAAAAGAAATATAACTCGATTCTGTATTTCCTGAAAAAATTAAAATATGTCTGTGCTTAACCAAACATTACAGAAAAACTAGATGGATAGGTGTCATTTTATAAGAATTGGATGTTTCCCATTGTACTGGGAATCTGATGAGCCTGTTTTTAGGTAAGGACTGTAAAACGATCACAGGCTACCGAGTAAAATTACACCTACCTCTCTCTGGATCAAAAATGGAGGTCTGGGTCCAGTATTTCTAGTTGTACCAGACGAAAATACTGGACGCTTTTCTATCCTCTGCAAAAAAAGTCGATGGATTTTCAAGAAACTCCATGTGTATTCATATTCTGTTCTAAATTTTTGAACTTTTTCATCGTTACCTGGTTACAGAGTGATGAATATCCGATGTGGAAGAACCATTATATTCTTGGAGCAGGTATGGAGATATACGTGGTGCCATTCTCTGAGACTTTCATCAACATGGCGTTTCCAGAAGCAGCCAGGTGAGTACTAGATAGTATGTAATTGAAAAAAACTCTGGGATGTTTATGGTCTCCAACCATTTAAACTGTAATTATAATTATTCTGCAATTGTACATTAATTGCATTTTAAAACAGTTTGGACAACACATTTTAATTAACAATGATGTACCGGCATATTATGTATGATATTTTTCATTTTCGTAGTATTTCTTACCAAAACCTCGGCCTTGTCGTCATGGGTATAAACTACATAACTGATGATGCGTCGAGGCAAATATTACTCAACCCTGGACCAGATGTCAGGGTAGGGGTAGGGTCAAATGCTATAGTTCTGGCCAATTCCAGTGATGAAGCAAAAAGGTAGTATTCGAAACTCTTGGCTGCAAGGGTATTTTTCATTCTTAGTTATTCATAATATGTGCAGTTCCAAACAATCTGTTTAAAACGTGATTTCTGTAATTTGGACAAACTTTGTTAAGATAAAGTCATTTTGGGGTAAATCTGAAGTGATTTTTTATGGTTAGTGTTTAGAAGTTATGAAACCACAATACAACAGATGGGGAAGACTATAATCAGTACTTGTGGAACTTATCATCGATTTTTGTTATCCTGAATGCTTGGACACATTTTACCGGCCTGTAACTCGAATTATTTATTTAAAACATTTTGAATATCTTCTAATTTTTAGACTCTCGTCTTATGGATCTGAGGTGGCGATTGGGTCATTTTCAGTTTCGGGATACGACCCACCCGTCACTGCAGGTAATACCTCTATATAGTTTTCTCAGTAAGGGATGAAACACTACAAATCTTTCATTCAATGAAATTAAAGAAATGCCGGATACAAACTTGTGTATAGCTTTTTAAAGTAAGATATATGAGTTAGTCATTCGTTTAGCTCATTTACTCTTTGAACATTGTTTTATTTTTCGCAGGCGAAGTTGAATTGAAAGAAGCACATGTGCCAATTAAGAGATCATCAACATATACAAAACTTAGGGACGAGGGCAAAAGTAAAACATCGTAAGTATTTTCAAAAACTAGGACTTATACATTCTTTTCTGCGGGTAATATAAACATATGGGATATTGGGGACCTGTGGTTCCCATTGACTGTTCATGCTTTCAGAATACATATGTATTTTTTCTTGCTGAATTTTGATATTTTCTCTTGTATTTTATCAAGTTATATTACATACTGTAATTTATAATTGCATTTATACAAAGAGATGACCAGACACAATACATCACTGATGTAACTGGAGAATACCACTGGTCTCCTGCAAGATCAATGGAGGATGCTGACTTGGTAAGTACATTCCTTTTCGATAAACCAACTTATATCTTTTTAAGCAAAGGTTGGCAGAGTAGGTGGAGTAATACGGTATCTATATATAATATAAGTTGTTCCAGCTCGTTGACTCTAAATACTTTTTATTATAATGATGTTATAGTTGTTGGGGGAACTAATGAAATTTTTGAATTTTTAGGGTACAAACAACAACAACACGGAAAACTCCGCATTGAGAAACCATGCCGTTCTTTGCATATTATCCACAAAAAACTGTGACCAAACTGGGCTCGTGAATTTTGTAAAAACTTTCAGAACGACACATTTCAACAGGCACGAACTTGTGCCAATTGTAATCGTCGGTGATGGAGAATATCTGCTCGAAGAGTGGGATGCAGTAAAATATTTCCCCGAAGTATACGTTATTAGAGTAAGTTAAACAAAGGAAAACTAAGATCTAAGAGATAAATTCAAGCTTATTTATATACAGTTAAAAATGGGAATAAAAATCACACATATTCCCAATCATATGTTACTAGTAAATTGTTATTTTTTGAGGCGGGATTGATTAAATTTTGAATGGTTCATGAATATACCATAGTCACCCAAAACGGAACTTCTCCCATTCAGATGTTTTTTTATTTCTAAAATGTAGGATTTATAAATAGTTTGTATGATAATAAATGTGTTATGAAATGATTGAAGATGTGAGAGTTCTCCAGTTGGATACAACTAAGTTTGGAACAAAAATGTCAAGCTTTTATTATACTGGAATCATGGCTAAAATTTTCTAAACCAGTAAATGTTTTTATCCATTCTGAAATATAATATCGCAAAAATGATTGATCGAACGCAAATTTGATTTATTTAGATTCCAAATGCAAAAACCACCAAATCATGACTATCTACAACAACATTGCACTATTGACCCGAGGTATTCTATGATTTCAGGGGTCGCCTTTAAGCCGTTCTAATATGAGAATGGCGAACCTAAAACACTGTAAAATGTGCACTATATTGTCAGTACTACCAAATCTGGCGCAAAACAGAATAGTATGGGACAAGGATGCTTTGCTGTGCACTCTCAACATCAAACACATGGCATTTGAAATATCAGGTAGGATATTTTCTTGATTTAAATTAGAAATCTATTTGTAGTATTATTCGAAGGATATAGTAGCCACTGATGCGAAATAAAAATGATCATCAATTTCAAGTATCATTTTTAAAATCACACACTCAAAATAACTACACAGTGAAGACTCTTAATCTTTGAATGTGGTTTTCTCTGTTCCAGAGTCAGATGCCCACAAAACGCAATTTGGCAATACACTTCCTGGGCATAGATTGTTCCCTACTCTTACAGTGTTTGGTAAGAATTTAAAAGGATATTCTATAAGGGGGTTGTCCTGTTGAATATAATTATCTCAATAGATCTTTATTAAAATAATTTTTTGAACATAACAATCTCAATTTCTGCAGTTTTGCCCGCCCCTTTATTTGATTCGTCTCTACTCTCACGCTCTCAAACAAGGGAATATAGGTCTCTTATTTGATGCTCTCAAATGTTGTTGTTGTATGTTGAAGACTCTACAAATCTGAGTTGCTGTCGTATAATTGTGCGAGACGGCAGGACGACAGGAAAAAATGTCATTGCTAGGAAGAGCAGTTCCGCAGATCTTCGTCATACGAATGGGCAATCAAATACAGAGTCCATTGAAGAGGATGACCTCAACACACCATTTTTTCTCACCAAGGCTTACGCGTGTGGACGCGTATTTACTCTGGAAATGTTGGATGCACTTGTTTCCTCGGTATATGAATACATTTTGCTTGGTTGGACTTTTACCATAGGCTTTCAAGAGACACTATGTCTTCAAGAGATGGTCCTACCCTCTTTTTTATTCTGAATCAATTTCCTTAATAAATATAAGATACAGTAGACCTTTGCGAATAGTGAATTACTATCTCTATAATGAAGAAGAAAAATTGTAATACTGGTACAATTTTTCGTTACAGGCGTTCTTTAACTGTCATACAATGAGATTGGTCCAAGTAATGTTGACGGGAAGCTCTTCAACAGAGATGGATTTCTTCTCCATAGGCCAAGACATGTTTCCTGGTATTATTAACCAAGAGCCTAAACCTGGCAATATATGTCGCATTGCGCAGATTTCCTTTCAAAGTGAACCTCTCATACAGTATAGCTCAGAGGTAAATAAAGCTACACTTATATTCAATCATAACTGTACGATGCACCTTTCAGTTAATGGCCTTCAGGACTGTCTATAGATTGCGAAAAATTCAGTAGGTTTAATAGCATACTTTAACATGTAAAATTGCTCCAAAAAATTCCTAAGATAAATTTTATTGAAAATATCCAAAACCTTTTGATTTGGAATCTTAAAACATGTTTGTAAATAATAATGAAGGAAAATATGATATTTATTTGATATGTGTAGTGAATTTGACGTTTTTAAACAGCAATATTTACACACAAACCAATGGGCCAGATGTGAAGAACAACCTAGGAGTTAACTGCCATCTATACGAGTCCTGGCTCCCATTCTCGATGTGAATTTTTACTTTGTCTGTAGTTGAAACTTTTGAAAGTAAAGATTTTATAAGAGTACTCTACTAAATAAGACGTCCTTGATTCCGTGCAGCAACTTATGCAACGTATAAAACAGTTTATATCTAATACAATAAAAAGTTCCTGTAGATTGAGAAATGCTACTTTTGTTACATGTACATTTTATTCATGTATTAGGTAAAAATGATTAAGTTGTTCTTAAAAAAAATTGCATTGCAGTGCAAAGATTATGGAACTATATTTATATGGCTCCTAAAGAATTATGGCATCATGTGTATTGGCATCAACCGTCTGCTACATCCTCTGAAATCAGCGGCTCGAGCTTCTAAAAGATACGTCATTACAAACCCACCTGCTGACTTTGTATGTATGGACACTGACGAGGTTTGTTTATTGTTTATTCGTATATCCGTGATTATTCCCTTGAAAATGTACAGGATCCCCCAACACCTCATTTATTACATACTCATCCAGCAATATTGTAAACGATGAGTGCATATGTTTTAACATCATTCGAGGAAAAGCATGCAAATCAAATCAGCTAACCTTATATTTTCAGATATTCGTTCTGAAACCATATGGTACAAAACGATTCGCAGTTAAATCAAAAGATGGACAGGGAGATACTGGTAATGCGCTGAATGAATCCTCCAGAAATGAAACGTGGCCCAATGGATTGAGTGATGGGAATGATAAGCCTACGGTTATTTCATTCAGTTTCTGATGATGATAAAATCAACCATGAAAGATGAACAAGAATATGTATACTTCGCCACTACGCTACACAACACTGATTTATACAACACTAGACTTACACACAACTTTCCTAAATGACAATCCATGCGCAGAAGACATTTGAAATAGAAACTGCTTCTGTTATGATAGATATGCCTAATATATACAACGCGATATAGTAAAACAGGAAAGATATCTAAAGGCAATCTTAACAACATACCATCCAAATTCAATTTATATTGTAATTATCTATAGCAATACCAGCTAATGCCTTGGTCACATAGGCTCCGATTTTCACTACGGCGCCCGGCCGATGAGTATTTTGTTCAAAATCGGCCGGCGAGCCCGGGCATCGTACGGGCGCCGGGCGATGATCGCCACTCATCGGCCGATTTTTAGACATCGTACGGGCGCCGGCAGAGTTTTATCGCGGAGATAAAAGTTGCCGATGTCTTGGCGATTTTTCTCAACCAAACTCATCGGTACCTACCCGACCGTGTCCCGTCCGGTCATCGTACGATTATCTTACGGCGCCCGGTGGCATCGCACGGTCGTCTTGGGATTTCGCGAGCTGATTTGTTTGATAAATCTTAATAATGATTACTTATAAAGTGATATAAAGGTTTTAAAAATAATGAGGTAAGGAATTATAATTACTACACACTGTCAAAGATTTTTTATAAAACATAATTGGAACGATTGGGCTTACTGTAAAACAATGACACACATTTGAATGGTTGGGTGGGTGGGTTGATCTAGTCGTTCTTATATTGACATTAATCGTGTCATACACATTTAATAGAGTGATTCATTTTTATGCGTATATTCACTCATGCATATACCATTACAAATCATTTATTTTGTGAGTACAGTATTTTCAAGGGTCACAATTTTAATACGAGAGTTCACAGTCTCAATTAAAGTTAATATCCCAAAGGCTAAGAATAGAGGGGATAAGGCCAGTGGGCCATATATGAGGAAGGCTTTGGGAAGACAGGTGGAAAAATACAATAACAATGCTTGTGAGCTGGTGGATGATGAAGATTTAGATGTGTCTAGGGAAGGGGGTACTCCACTTGAAATATAAAAAAAATGCCAATTTCTTTGAAGATATTTTGAGCCATATTTTATGACCAAACAAATTCTCTCTACGAGAACAGACAAAAGAAAGATGCAGAAATATGGAATTTTGCTAATAGCATCGGATGGACAGGTAGACATAGTATTTGTTTATATGAAAAATCTAAAAATGAATTAAGGTCAGGGTGCACTTTGATGAAAAGACCACGTGCAGTATGGCAAGTGTAGATCGACCGATGTCCTGGCGGGTGCCGTACGGCCATCGGCAGATAGCCTTGCGATACCCGTGCGATGTCTTTCAGATTCAATTAATTGCGGGCGCCGTACGATGCCTGTACTAATGTGACCATACTCACGATTAGATCAAGACATCGGTGAAAAGTCACCGGCGCCCTGTCGATTTAGAAATCGGCCGATGACTACTCATCGGCCGGCGCCCGGCAGCTATGTGACCTAGGCATAATATAAGCACTGACTTGTGCCTTTGTCTCATTTGATCTATGGTAACCGTACGGCGGTCGTAGCTTCCCAACATCGAGAGAAATATGCAGCATAAAAATAAAGGGAAAAGCAGTACGATGTAGAATTTCTTTAATCGATTTTGTGAAGCTACGACCGCCGTACGCCCGCTGTAGCGAAAATGTGACTGAGACTTTAAAACCGACAAATTGCCCAAAAAATCAAATTCATTTTGCCCAAAATATAATTTTAAGTAATTAAAATAGTAAATCATGTGATCGAAGTTTAGCTGTGATTGTGAAACCGGCAAAACTAGTAATGCATAAGTGATGCATTCTGTTAGTATATGACTTCAAATAAACGTTTCCACTCAAACTGTTATCATGTTTTTTGTTTATAAGATTACAAGTTATGACCAATCGTATTGTATATTTTTGCAATGACTTAAATTTTTCCTGTTGCTATAATTTTCTCTCGTTGCTCCATTAAATACCCTGTAGTGTGCTGTACACAGACTTGCCAACCTAAAATGAAAAATTTTCTGGAGATTTAAAAAAAATTGCGGTACTTTTACGGGAGTTTTTTTCAAAATCCGGGAGTTTTTGCGGGAGTTTTTTGAAAAAATGCGGGAGTTTTTACGGGAGATTTTTGAAAAAAACGGTAGTTTTTACGGGAGATTTAAAAAAACGGAAGTTTTTGCGGTAAATTTTGAAAAACAACGGGAGTTTTTACGGGAGATTTTGAGAAAACGGGAGTTTTTACGGGAGATTTTTTAAAAAAGGTATTTTTCGCGGTAAATTTAAAAAAACGTGACTTTTTTACGGAAGATTTTAGAAAAAAACGGGAGTTTTTGCGGTAGGTTCTGAAAAAACGGGAGTTTTTACGGTAGGTTTTGAAAAAACGGGAGTTTTTTGCGGTAGATTTAAAAAAACGGGAGTTTTTACGGTAGATTTCTGAAAAAACGGGAGTTTATACGGTAGATTTCTGAAAAAACGGGAGTTTTTACGGTAGATTCTGAAAAAACGGGAGTTTTTACGGTAGATTTTGAAAAACAGGAGTTTTTTACGGTAGATTTCTGAAAAATTGAGAGTTTTTACTTTAGATTTTGTAAAAACGGGAGTTTTTACGGTAGATTTTGAAAGAACGGGAGTTTTTACGTTAGATTTCGGAAAAAACGGGAGTTTTTACGGTAGGTTTCTGAAAAAACGGGTGTTTTTACGGTAGCGTTTTTTATATTTCAAACTGTCTATATTATTAATATGATCTGTTTAGATTATAGATACAACATTTTATTACTTTGGAAACGAATTGATCAAAGCTAAGTAAAATGTATATGTGGCGTTCACTATATGCTAAGGGCAATCTGCGTGAGGTTCCATTTTTAGGTTCGGTTTTTCGCGCATGAGCATTAAATCCAGCGATTTAATTGGTTGAAATTATTATGACGCATGCGCAGTTAATAAATTAATTAAAACTTATAATCTAAGATAGATGTCACTTAAGTTTATTATATCACAGCAGTCCCTACCCATAATGCGCCTTATATTGCGGGGATATTTTGTTTAGCGCCATATAAAAACAAAATGTATTCTCCCGACAGAAGTATGACAGAATATGAACTGACCCCCGTTTGTGGACATTTGGTGTGCAAACTTTATGAAAGTATCGATAGTGAACCATGGGAGCTAATCCTTCTTGGAGTAAAAGAAAGAAGCGTGCCTGCAATAATTATACAATCAAGGTCACAAATTTGTCAAATTCCTTTTAAATACGGTAGATTTCGACAGCAAAAACCGAGATTTTACGGGAGTTATACCAAGAATACGGGAGATTTTACGGGAGTTATACCAGAATACGGGAGATTTTACGGGAGTTATACCAGAATACGGGAGATTTTACGGGAGATTTCAGCAAAAATACTGGAGATTTTACGGCCATATTTTTAAAAAAAATTACGGGAGATTTTAGTAGAAATACGGTACGGGAGTTTACGGGAGTTTTTACGGGAGAAAACGGTACGGGAGTTTGGTATTTTTTACTGAAAAACAAAAAATTTACGGGAGATTCCCGTAAAAAAACGGGAGGTTGGCAAGTCTGTGTACAGGACAATTGGTCGGGGTCGGGAGCTGGAAATGTTTTTATTGCATAAATATGACCATTCTACAACCCATGAGAATCTACTCAGTCTAACAATTTCTGGTGCAAAAGTTGTCATTTTTAAATTTTACCCCTTGACAAAATTATTATAGGGGGTGCTAAGATACATGGCTAGCCTATATCTAAAAAATCAGTTGTCTAATTACCTTTTTTGGCATGGGTAAAGACCCAAAGAAGAGTGGATGATATACGGTAACCGTAACCGAAGATCATGGCATTTTTTAAATTTCAGCGTTTGTGAACACGGATTCAAATATTTTCTTTATATCCTAATGATATATTAAACATATATTATTATTTTGAGGTGAATGCATGTGCATCTTTCACAAGTGATATTCCTTGAAACCGATACGGCCAGTGGAATATCATCTCGTAAAAGGTATTCACCAAAAATAGAATGAAATATTTGTTTTACTATATTACTGTCAATCTCACTAGGCCCTCCCCCAATATAATTAAATCATTTGTTTAAAATTTAAAAAACATAGGTTAATAAAACCTGCGTTCACGATACACACTAAACAAAATAAAATATTGAAAATCCCAGGGAACCAAGGGCAAATAGATGAAGTTTAAATATTATACAGCAAATAATATACATGTATTCTCTGTAGCCATTTTAAGAAATGTGTATATTTAGGATATGACACTTGATTACTTGATCTAACTTGTGTTTTTGGATACACTTTAAATGTTTTAATGCCATTTTATTATGTATAACGTACTCTCACTCCAAAATATGACCTTTGCATGATGAATTGAACGCCCTCAAAAATGCTCTTCGCCAACTTCCTACTTTTTTCAGTGTTTTTTATCGTGGTCTGGTCATGTTAACCCCAATGCAAACAAAAGGAGTTTTAACCACATCGATGCCATTGCATTTCGTTGCATGTTATTTATTGAACACCACTTCTCAGAACTCATTAATATCCAGCAGTGAAAATCAAGATGGCGGCCGAATATCTTGTTGGTTTGATCTTATGTCTGTCATTTTGCAGTACAGGTATGTGTTTCTCTATAAAATAAGTATAAGCTATAACAGTACAACATGACGGCTTGTAACATCATGATCTTGAAATCTTAAATTTCGAATCGTGTCGATCGATGAATTCCGGAAACCAGTGGCAAACTTTTGATAGCCTGAGGATAGGTTTGGAGTTAGGACAAATTAGGACACCTAAGTAATGTTGGACTTCGCAACGATTTTTTAGCATCTTTTAAACTATAATTGTTTCGTTGTTTCATTCTTACCCAGATTTTGATTTTAAATGTACTTTTGACTTTAGTTGACACCCTTCAATGCTACCAATGCGTTGATGTGTCCAGCTCGAGCAGTTTGATAAACACAGTAGGGCATTCTGATCCTAATTGTGAGTCTGTTTCCAACTATGCCACTACCACAAAGACATGCCAGACCGGGGAAGCTTGTGGATATGTGAAGGGGAAAGTGGATTTATCTGTAAATTTACTTGGTAAGTGTTTACATGTTTTCAATTTCAATCGTGTATTTTTATCTTAAATATTGGTATTTAAGGTATGAATTTCACAAATTCTCACAAAATGTATTTTAATCTTTATTCTATAATATCTTACGTGAGGATTTCATGGTTAGAACTGTTGCGACAGGTTGAATTCCAGGCTGAAGTTAAAGAAGTCTTGAGACCAACGGGAAAACATTTCATTATAACCAAACAAAGCTTTTTTAGAGGAGCAAAATTGAACTATTTCGATAGTTTTCTGCAGGAACTTTATAAGTAATTAAATTAATTTCCTTAACTAATTTTTTATCTTGGCTTTGGGGATGTCATTTACCCTCTATTAATTACCCTCTATTTATTACAAATATTTGTTGTGCAGTGACGAAGGTTGATGCTACAATCACTCTAAACATTCGCGATTGTATGGCAGTTGCATCTGGTACCAGTATGAAGTGCTACAGGAACCAATACTACACTGATATTATAAACGAAGCACTGTCATTCATCGGTGAACTGGTGGATGTTAAGTTTGATGGAGATGTATGTTTCTGTAGAGGGGATCTCTGCAAGCCCTGCGGCTCCCAGTCGACTGAAATTTTTGGCATTTGGTAAGTTATATTTGTTTATTTATTTATTCATTTATTTATTTATTCATTTATTTATCTATTTATTTATTTGTACTAACCAAAGAGGAGCCTACTTTTCAAAGTAGAGGATACATATGAATATCAAATGGTGTAAAGCAAGTGTAATTCCCACCAGTTGTTGCATTTCAACTTTGATATGGGATGTAAAAAATGCCCCATGTAAAGTTTAAACCACTTTGGCTTATATTGTAGTCTTACCCAATGTTATCAAAGTGTGATATGTGAAACTTTTTTTTTTAATTTCAAAAAGTGGTTTTTGATAGACTTTTTGTTCCAAAATTTGTGAATTTATTTAAAACCAACTTTTAGAGGTCACTCATATCTTCTAATTAGCCACAATTCATACCAATGCATAGCATACATCCTCCCATGTTTTTTGCCGAAAAAATTAAGAAAATCTGTTGATAAACAAGCGAGAAATGAACTTATCAGTGCATGAAAATGGTTCTGAGAAAAATGCATTTCAAAATTTTAGTTCTCATAGAAACCAATGGTACAATGATATCTAAAACATAATTTATTCTTCCTTTTAACCTGGTTAGACAATCAACATTGTTTTTTTATGAAAGTCTAGCATATTTAGAAAAGATTGACATCGAAAAAATTCAAAAAGTTTTTGTTACCTTAGTGACATCACTAATGTTTCAAAATATTTTTGATAAGCTAAAACATTGAAGTGGCCCATTAAATATGACATTTTATTATTGAAAAAGTGTGTCTTTTGTTCAATCTTTGCATTGGTGTTAAAAATATAATCTTTTTTGAAATGCATTAAGAAATATTTGATGATTAAGAAATTTCAATACAATACAAATTTGAATATTTGAGAAATGAAATGCTCACAACTTTTTTTTCAAAAATTTTTTTTTGTTCAAAAATCTCTAAAATCACTTTTTCAGTCCTGACAAATAGTAAATGAATGATAAAAAAATATTTTCAAACTTTAGACGGGGACTTTAAAGTCTGTGTGTAACTTTATGCGTTTATATTTAACAAAATACCAGCACCAGATCTGTAACTTTTGGAACACCCTGTATTTAATTTTTTAGGCTTGCGTTTAGAACTGAGAACTGAGTAGTTCATTCTTGCTAACGCTATGAGATGATTTAATTGCAGCTTTGCATACTGGGTGCTTGGGGCCATTGGAGGAGGTGTTTTCCTCGTCATTGTTCTGCTGGTCTGCTGTTGCTGTTGCTGCTGCTGTAGAAAGAACCGACCAGTCGGCCGTCCAAATGTATTCATACAAACTACTGGTGGTAAGAAACAGTTTGTATTATGGCGTATGAAAATCAGTTGTAAATGGTATAAAAAATGTTTCAGTCTAATTGAATAGGCAAACGATTTTTGGTACGCAATTTGAAATGGCCGAAGATACTTCAACCCGTACCATATCCCTAAACCTTAACCCCTTAATCTAAAACTGATTCGGGATTTCCACCCCATGCAGACAGATCGGCTAAAATTACATTCGTATGATGCGAGACTCGACATTCACCAGGAAACCATGAAGCAAAATAATTTTTTAATGCTGGATAAATGGTGAATGACAGTCACATTAAGTTCTACAAGTATGAGAATAGCACGACGTCTTTATATTTCAAGGTAACTCGTTTGAAAAGTGATGGCGGTGAATAAGATTACGATGTAAAGATAAAAACCGCAACGAAATACTATAGATTTCTTTGTAAAACTAAGAAATATACATCAGATAACGAATTTTTTAAATCAGAAAAAAACATGTATAAATATGTATAAATAGTAAGGCCTGCAGGTCCAATTCCCACTGTCGGATTAACATTGGTCTTGTATATAATGCCATACAGTTAATATTAATAACATAACTATTATTCAAACTTATGATCGGACATAGGCTAAGTATGATGTAACCATGGTTACTTTATTACCTTGAAGTACACATCATACTTATGTCCGATCATAAGTTCGAAAATAGTTGTATTTAGGTGATCTGTCTGCATAGGATGACTTCGATAGGCAATCTCCGGCTGTATATGCATGTTTTAAACATTGCTACATTAACTATCTAGTACAGTAAATTTGTAGAATATTAATGGTCCCATCCTATTTTCTAAAACGATCATCAATACACTATGTATACAAAGTGATGGTGAGAGAAAAGAGAGAAAAGTTAACAATATTGTTGTATTTGTTCATTTCAGGAGTAGTATCGCAAGGAACAGCGCTGTCACTTGTGCCACCGCAACAAAAAGGTTATGCGAGATTTTGAGGTGTTTCATACAGTGAAACGACCTGTGGGGATCTCAGTAATATCCGACTACATATCTAACAAACATTATATCCAGTTCCACCATTTTTAGATGTTGTGTAGGCTACAGTGACAATAACTTTTTGGGATATCAGTAATATCCGACTATATATCTAACAGACGATATTATCTAGTTCCACCATTTTTTAGATGTTATATACGGTGACAATAGCTTTTTGGGATATCAGTAATATCCTACTATATATCTAACAAATAGTATATCTAGTTCTACCCTTTTTGTACATAACTGAACTGTAGATTTTATTTTATGAGATATTTTGAGGTTTTGTATAACAATGACAAAAGCTGGTGAAAAATATCAGTGATATCGGACAAAATATCTATAATATAAACAATATATATATCTAGTAGAAACAATATATATCTAGTAGAACGTACCTATTACACGTAGGCTACTATATTCACATTTATTTCAAAATGTGTATGTAATAATTTGAAGAATACCTTTTTTGTACACACTGGTAAGTTGAAACTGTAACCTTTATGTATAATTGTACACAACGAACAGGACGTACAAGTTTATAACAGTATGTAAATATATTGGTTTGTTAACTCTACATATACGAGGGGTGATCGGGAATTTCTGCACCGTTGGCTCTATTTTGCCATGGTAACAAAAATAATAGGATTCAATCCCTTTCCCAATCTGCTAGTAATCCAGTCTCAACATTTCCTCTTGGGTTACTTGATATAGACTTTTACATAGATTTCCTCCGAATGATGTTTTTCTTTAGTATTTTACAACTCCGTTGCTCAAATATTTACAAACACATATTCACGATACGGTTGATAAAATTGTCGTATATGAAAACAAATTTTGATGTGTTTTCTCCTATCCGTAACATGCTCATATGTGCTATAAAATACAACTTGGATAAATACATTCTCGATATGCTATACTGTAAAACTCGAATCACCAAACAAAGGTGGAAGAAAATTGTTTTTACAGAACTTTCGACAGCACAAATACAGAGGACGTTTGTTAGATCAATTATGTATACTGGTCTTGAACTATTTAGGTTGAATGATTTTAGGTCTTTGAGTCCAAATATATGGTGGTGTGTTGCCAGAAAGTTCCCTGTTGCCCTCGGTGGTTGCAAAATTATGGTTAAACTTCTGACAAACGAACATACTCTAGGAACAAAATATCGAGGCGGAGAAAACAAGTCAAAATTATGTTATATGTGTAATACATTTCAACAGGAAAATGTCATCCATTTTATGTTAACGTGCACAGCAAATAGTTGAGAGGTTAAGCTTTGCATATATAATCGAAACTGAACCTGTACGTATCACTCGACCATATACAAATTCATGTAGCCTTCTCATATAAATAGCCGTTCAAATCCAGTGTTTGTTTAGACTACACCATAGCGTGTAATGATTCTATAGTATGTCATTGATGCGGTTTTATAGCTGGTTTTCTAATACATATTTTAAACGAGCTCGTTTCGTAAGATTTTTGGCGCTAAATCATGCATGACATACATCATCGTGTTCAGCAAGAATTCAACTGTGCATCGAAATCAAAATTGATAGCATAGTGTTCAATAGACACGAGTAAAATGGTTCCCGTTGACCCAACGTCAAATTTCAAAATCTCCCGTTCTAAACCCGAAACTATGAAGCTGAAAGAGTATCTGAAGTAGACTAAGCGCGCATAAAACTATGAGCGCTCGATACATTCCTTTGTTAATTTTTGTACTTTGCGTTCACGGTTACGTTGTGAAAAACATCGTTAGCTTAACCTCTCCACTTATACCCCGTTTAGACGTAAACTAAATGAGCACTGCCAAAAGTTTGGTATAGAGATGAATATTAACAACATTTTAGGGATTAACTTTAGAAATGATCCCCGGTCTTTAGATTTTTTAAGAGGGGTTTCACTTATCGTGCAAGAGCAATACCACCTCCGTGCTTCGTGCTTGCAATGCAACTCATAACTGACTTATATGATTTCGGATGCGTTTTAATGCAAACCATGGTTTAAAATCTGTTGATTAATGCGTCAAGTATTTTATATCTATCTATATATTTTATATACATAAGGTATAAACCATATGTACATACTTAATCTATATCTACTGTCAATTGTGATCTCTGAACAAATGATCTCTCAAATGGTTGTAATTGGACGATGAGGTAGCGGTAGCATCTTATATCGTCTGTGGTTCATTGGATGAGATGCTTACATCGACCTTGGGGAAGATGGTTTGCACTCAACTAATGAGATAAGTGTATTATATAATGTATAAAATGTATGTACATACTTAACTTTTCTTACTTTTTCAATTATGATCTCTGCACAAATGATCTCATTGAGGGTTGTAATTGGACGATGAGGTAGCGGTAGCATCTTATATCGCCTGTGGTTCAGTGGATGAGATGCTTACATCGACCTTGGGGAAGATGGTTTGCACTCAACTAATGAGATAAGTGTATTATATAATGTATAAAATGTATGTACATACTTAACTTTTTTTACTTTTTCAATTATGATCTCTGCATAAATGATCTCATTGAGGGTTGTAATTGGACGATGAGGTAGCGGTAGCATCTTATATCGTCTGTGGTTCAGTGGATGAGATGCTTACATCGACCTTGGGGAAGATGGTTTGCACTCAACTAATGAGATAAGTGTATTATATTATTATAAAATTGTATGTACATACTTAACCTTTCTTAACCTAACCTTTTTTACTTTTTCAATTATGATCTCTGCACAAATGATCTCATTGAGGGTTGTAATTGGACGATGAGGTAGCGGTAGCATCTTATATCGTCTGTGGTTCATTAGATGAGATGCTTACATCGACCTTGGGGAAGATGGTTAGCACTCATCTAACGTATAAAGTGTGTTTTATATATTTTTATTCTATGTTCATTTAACATTAATGTTATATCAGCATTATTTTCATTGTACACTGTATACATGTATCTCCTTTTCATAAAGGGCAATAAAGATATACATACATACAATAGGATGATGATGTCATAGAACAATGAAATCTTCATGGTGTGATCCTATATATTTGGGTTATATTGTATGAAAAGATCACTAAGAAAGGATGAAAATGGCAAGAATAGAGCCAACGGCCGAGAAAATCCTGATCAGCCCTCGTATGTTGTTTTAGAATGGCTACGGTCGGATTAAAAACACTATCCTCCATTTTTTCGAATCTTTGTAAAAATGATAGGGTCGTGTTCACTGGGGCAATGAGATGTATACCTAAATAGCATCAACAATGCACTTTCAGTTATATAAAGGCAATCATTTTAAATTGGTTTCACCATTCTCTCCCATCAAGTTGTGGAAGAAAGCGATGAGATGTTTGGTTTCATTTTCATCTTATACTTGCTAAATAACCAAGTCATTTCTTTTATACAATCAAATGCATTAATTTACATTATTCTTGAAGCATCATCTAATGATATTAATAGGATAGGAAAATATAGATATTGACCTTTGACCTTGAGATGATCTTGACCCATAAGAATTGACATTGACCAGGTCAGGTCGCCTAATTATTGGTCGCCAAGTGTCACAGCAGCCCCAATGACTTTATATCACCAAATACCTAGGAATTTAACTTTGACCTTTGAAAGACCTTAGGTCACTTAATCATGGGTCGCCAAGAGTCACTTCAGTCGCGAATGTCCTTACAAAGCTAAATACTTAAATAACGACCTTTGATCTCAAGATGACATTGAACCATAAACATTGACCTTGACCCAAGGTCACCTAATCATTGGTCGCAAAGGGCCACAGAATAGGCCAATGATCTTAAAAAGCCAAATATCTAGATATTGACCTTTGAAGTAGGAATGACCTTGACCTCAGGTCACCACCTAATCATAGGTCACCAAGGGTCACAACAGCCCCTAAATGTATTCAAACGCTAAATACCAAGATATTGACATTTGACCTTGCAATAACTTTGACCCAATAGATGGCCATTTATCAAAATGGCCACCAATTGTCGTTCAAAATGTAATATTTGATAACCCAAAATACCAGTTGACGGATTTGGTTTAAATTTGATGTGCTGATACCTAGGGGAAAAGGAGTTAATGCTCAAGAGGAAATGTGCAAGATGGCCGCTATCTATCAATGTTCGATGGGATTTGCTTCTTCGTGGAATTGCTGCTTCCTAGTATATTATTAGGCTGAACTGCACACCCTAGCACCTTACTTTAAGGAAAACTAAATGGTAATATTTAAATGATGACATTATTTGTTAATCATTTATAAATCTTTATTGGTATATGAACAGGTTAGTACCTGATTTATATTGTAATACATTATGTATTTAGATTTCATGAATAAATATTGTACACTTTTGTAATTGTAACATGATAACATAATGTTATATACAATAGAATGAAAACATATGTTTGTTTTTATAACTGTAAAATGATAATTAAATGAATTAATACAATAAAAATAAATAAATTACATCTTTAGTAAAAAATATTTTTACGAGCACTAGAAATACTTTGAATGTCTATTGATACAATATGTTTGATCAAGAACATTACGTAAATACATGAAACGAACAAAATATTAAAACAAAGATAATTACGTCACATTTATAGAGGTTAAATGGGAGGTTTTTGAAACAGGGTATATCTTAGGGAAATACAATGTATCTACCCGAGGGACCGTAGGGACCGATGGTTGATATCTTGTATTTACCGAAGGAAATTACAAATTACAAACTACAATCAAAACATGAATATTATCTCAATGTAAAGTTCTTAACATTTATCGTTTTTTAAAACTCCACAGCTATTAAACGAAATTTCCGGGAATTGGTGAGCGGGTGATATATTATATCACCCGCTCACCTCAATTATCGAATATATTCCCGCATGTTATTTACCTATAACACTACTAAGTATGGGATAAATCCTCATAATGCCCTCGTACTGAAAGGGGT